TTTTCGTATTTCTTTAGTATAGCTGTGAAGATGTCAGCGAGGCCGTCAGTTACTCACACTTGATGATTTTGAGAGCATGACTGATTCAGAGCGCCGTAAGCTATATCTGCTAGCCTTCATACGAGACCACATGCATCTGTCTTTCCTAATGGTTAAGAACAACATCTTAACTGATGATTGAATGGAGGAAAAAGTGTGAAAACCACAGACACACAACCTTCCATTAACACTCAGGGTGGCTGTCGGCTCTTCGCGCTGTTCGGAAAACAGTATCCACCACCCATATCCAGACACTTACAACCAGAAAACAAACCTAGCAGGATAGACGAAGGCTCCGCGATCTATGGTCATTTTTAGCTGTGGATGCGGTTTAATGTTCTGTCTGTCTTGTGGAGGGATCTTGATTAATTCTTCAGCTAGTCTAACACCTTGCACATTTGATCGGGTGTCTAAGGCACATCATACGAGTTCTCACTCTCAGTGTGAATGAGTGAGTGAGAAACAGAGTGAGACTGTTATTTCATAACTGAACGAAAATAGACTGTTCTCGGCCTATACTTTTACAAATGGGGGAATCTATCCGTCTATCTATCTATCTATCTATCTATCTATCTATCTATCTATCTATCTATCTATCTATCTATCTATCTATCTATCTATCTATCTATCTATCTGTCTGTCTGTCTGTCTGTCTGTCTGTCTGTCTGTCTGTCTGTCTGTCTGTCTGTCTGTCTGTCTGTATGTCTGTCTGTCTGTCTGTCTGTCTGTCTGTCTGTGCATTTTGTAAGTCTTATATGTTTGTATGGCCTCATTTCTTATCAATTATTCATAAACACAAACCAATTCTGTTCCAGGGTTTGATGTTTTAGTATCACTCGTTGATTAACTAACACTGCTGACTGGAGCAACCCAATTTTCCTTGGAGATTGACTTCAGACAACTTTAATGGGCTTTTGACGCCTTTAAATATTGAGCTTGAGAGAAGAGCTTTTGAAATATTTCTGGACTGTGATCAGTTGTTAAACGGAGTCAAACTCATCAAGTACATCCTCACAGATCAAATTAGCTTTTTAACACGTTTTAGTAAAGTTCTTGCACCTCTTTTGAGTACACTCCCTCCCCCATTTAAAACATGGTATTAATCTACATAAATATGCCATGGGATTTCCACAGAGAACTACTTGTCTCCCTTTGTAATTGCTATTTTATTCATTTGCTGTCTTGTAATCATAAAGCAATTTTACATCCAGCAAAGTGTCATCTAGAGTAATTAGGTGCCTATTATATTCTTAATCTCAAGAGAGGGTGAATATCACAAAAAAAACATGTCCATTCTTTTGATAAAAGATATATTTTGTTTAAAGAAAATGAATCCTATTTATAATTCTATTTTGTTTGTATTGTGATTTTTTTTTCCCCTGAAAATTAACCACCCTTTATATATTTAATTATTATTATTATTATTAATTTTAATGAATCAATTTTTTGTATTTTTCTTTCCTTTAGATTTTGTGTTGAAATATGATATTGAAAAATATTTTTGGCTGCTTTTCTGGAGACAGTTTGAGCGCCATGACCTTTTTCTTTGCCTTCTCTTTTCTTTGGCAAAACAAACTTTGTTGCTCTTGAACAGAGTTGTACAAACAAGATCGATCAAAGACCTTTCCACTCTTACAGGTCCTTCTGGACTGCTCTGAATTGTTCCTGCTGAATCATTACTTCTCTTCATATTATGCTCATTGTCTCAAGGACTCGAATGAGCCTTACCTTCTGTGCTTCTCAATGGAAATAAAGCCCCAACCCTTGAACGCTGCATCAGCATTTCTGTTTACTGGCTGCTGTTTAGGGAATAGAAACCCTGCGTTGAGACAAACTTATTCCGAAAACACAACGCAAAAGCTTAGACATGTTTTGTGAAGTGTTTAGAATTGGGTGATACATGGCCTGAACTTGTAGTCTATTAATATTTGTAGCATTCATTACATGCATAATGGTGTTTTTATGCTGTTGTTGTTGTTACCTGAGGGCCTGTTTATAATTTATTTTCCCTGACAAAATTTGGTATTTCAGTTCAATGCCACGTTATTAAGAGCCACAGTTTTTTATAATCATTAGGACGTCAACCTATGAATGACTTTTACTGCATGCTGAATTGCGATAAGAGAGAAAAAATCTAATTCAAGCACTTTTTCCATAGAAGTTTAGACAGACAAGCAATATGATAAATCAAGTCTTGTTGTCATTAACCTTCATTGAATTGTATCACTTTCGTAGCTGTAATACTCCCGCATGTTACGTACCTTCATAGTTCTGGGGAAATGGTTTTCCTCCCTTCCAGCTCTCCGTCTGTTTTGATCTGGTTTCATCGGGGCCATCATCAGCTTGGCTCAGAGACGCAACAGAGCTCTGAGTAATTGGTAGCGTAGGATTGTGGGAATGCGGCTTGGTACGGGCCCATCTGTCACTGGCTCTGACAAATGATCCGGCCCTGTGCCCAAAAATGAAAGGGAATAAAAAAAGTAAAGGGGTCCCTGTCAGTGACGCATCCCATAATGATCTTCAGTAGAAATGTGCACTCACCACATGGTGCAAAGCACTCATTTAGTCATATGAGAGATGTGAGAACTAGCGTTCTTTCACCCCGGTGACATGCCTCCAACAGAGAACATACTGTGTCGCTTGGCGTGTGAAACCGCGGTAAGACCTTCGAAGCATGCAACTTTTGCAGTATTCAAAAGAAAGCAATGATTCAGGGTTGCTTATGACTTGGCGCTCAATGCCGTGCATTGTTGTCCGTGTTGCTGTGTTTGTGCAATAGTAGTTAGTGAAGTTTGCTTATGAAGGTCAGTTCAGGCGAGCGACAACAAAAGCATTCTCAAGAGTATCTGCTAGACAGATTTTTTGTTGTTTCAAAAATAAAATGATAATTTAAATTGCAATTCACACATACAATGACTTGTATATACAACTCTTTTCTTTAGTGATTAAATATTTTTAGTATTTAATAAAAAAATTATTTTGATATTTTTAGGGGGTGCAAAAATGTGTGGCTGTCCTGGTAACATAATGAAGAGAAAGGGCTCATGAAAACCTTTTTAAACTTATTACGTAGTTTCACATAATCTTCTATTTTTTATTCTTTATTTAAAAATAGTGAAGCAAATTTGTTAAAATATGAATATTTGCACTATTTTACAGTTCCGTGGTTCAACCAGCATGAGATAGACCCAATGAGGTCTAAGGTGTAAGGAAAATATCCGTAAAGGTTAGGATTGTCCAGCATCTGATGATTTGATTTTGATTTTTCGGGGATTTTTTGTGTGTTTTTTATTTTATTATTCTTGGTGACGGTACTTTAGTAAGAATACATTTACAGATTTAACTTGTAGAGATTTTGCTGACAGTTTCTGACAAGTTCTGTCTCTGGCTTTATCTAGTTAAATGCATTGCAGCTACAGCCATCAACACATTGCTTTTGTAACAAAAGACAATTACTGTCGGACTTCCGATAACCCTCTGTGAGGGATGCCACATTATTGTGCATAATTCATGTCTGTTTGTCTTGTGATATCTATTTTTGCAATAACAGTATATGTCTGGCCTATTTATTCATTTCATATCTGTCAGATAGCCTACTAAAATACTGTTGCAAATAGCCTACATTTACATATTTGTTAGACACCAGTTTTTTGTAAGCATTTGAAAGTAAAGTTCTTCATAAATGTAAATAAAACATGTCTTATTAGCTGTATCCTTAACGTATTAGCTATACCTTTAGCGAATGATGGTAAAGTTGTTCTTACTCTAATTAAAACATAATTAGTGCATTAGCTATATCTTTCACAAATGAAAGTGAAGTTGTTTTTATATGTAAATAAAACATTTAGCGCATTTGCTATACCTTTTAACAAATGAAGGTAAAGTTGTTAAATGTAAATAAAACATCCTTAGCACATTAGCAATAGGATACCTTTAGCAAATTAAGGTAAAGTTGTTCTTAATCTAAATAAAACATTTAGCTCATTTAGCTATTCTTTTATCAAACGAAGGTAACATTGTTGTTAAATGTAAATAAAACATATTTATTGCATTAGTTATTCCTTCAACGATTTAAAGTAATGTTCTTGAATGTAAATAAAGCATATTTACTGCATTAGCTTTAACAAATGAAAGTTGTTTTTATATGCAAATAAAACAGTAAGCACATTTGCTATACCTTTTAGCGAATGAGGGTAAAGTTTTTAAATGTAAATAAAACATCCATAGCACATTAGCTATACCTTTAGTGAACAATGGTAAAGTTGTTAAATGTAAATAAAGCATCTTTAGCGTACTACGCTCACCTTTAGCAACAGTTTAAGTCCTCAGTAAAGAGGCCGTTGAGTGTTGCTGACAGGTGTAAAATGAAACTGCTTTGTTCTTGTTAAGTAAGGGTTCTTAGCGCAATGAGGCGCTAGTTTATTGATTGATGAATGGTTTAGCAGATATGGAAATGAATGGCTGCGGAGCGCACAAGGACACAAGGGTCTTTATCTGCGTCTGGATTGCCACAATCTGATGCTCACAATCTCATGTCTGATAGCCCCCATCTCCCATGACGCAAAGTGGCTTTAGTTGACAAAAGCGTTGTCGGAAGCTGAAGCTGTCTTGTCGGGTCCAGCCACACAAGCTGCAGTTGATCATGGCGTGAATTTCAAACAGGTTGACGAGGGTAATTCAGTCTACTTGATAATGACAGATTGTCTGTAGCATTTTTTGCCTGATGAGTGTTTGCGAGATTCCAGCTGTTAGAAGCCGGCGCTCTATTTAGATGCAACATTTAAGCTAGGTGTCTCTTTTTAAGGCAACTTCTTATCATTGACTTATCTTTGAAAATCGAGTTGTTTACTTGTGCAGTATCAGAAAACCGTTACAGATAAATCTCTGTACACCACATGCTAATGAACACCGCAGTAATTTAATTTGTTTAAATGCTGATAGTGCTGTTTCTCTCGTTTCAGAGGGCTCGTTCCAGAGCCACTCCCGGTTGCGAACGCCACCGCTGCCCCTGTCACACTCCCATTCCCCCAGTCAGCACCACACCGCCTCCATTGGCTCTCTGAGCCACAGCAACTACACCCAGCGCAGTAACCCGAGCCCGGCACCCACCGATAGCTCGGCTCCCAATGAGGGGCCTACAAGTGCCCAGGACTCAGGCAGTGCCCAGGACAACTGGCTTCTCAACAGCAACGTTCCTCTAGAGACCAGGTACATTTTGGGGCTGTGCTGTTCTCATGATAAAATGGCTTATCAAATAGCTTTGTGATGTTGAGTGACAACATTAGGCGTTTATAATGCATCGTAAGGCATGCATATGCTGGCTGCATGAAGCGTTTATTATGCTATTTGTATCTGCTTAAAAAATCAACTACACTGTTAATAGTTATGAGACTTTATGTAGCCTTTTATTTCCACTTGATGCACAATATAGTTTAATGGGTCATTCCTGCTGTTATGCAGTAGCTTTTGATGCATGGAGGTGGTGTCATTCAGTAAAACAGTATACCTGACTTTCAAAAACATCTTCTGGTCAATCTTAAGCACATAAATTGTATCTTGATAGGGAGACGATTAACAAAATTGAAGCTAAAATAATGAAAATAAAGAGCTAAGTTAGCCAGTTAGCTTACATGAGGTGTGAACTTGAAGATATTTTTTGTCTTTTGACATATTTTTATACCGTTTTCTGATGTTTTATATAACTGGTTGGAAACACAAACCAATTCATACCACAAAACTTCACAGAAATCGAATAAAACCTAAATTCACCAAATCTATTGATAATACTTATTGGTGTTTGTTTTCCCGCCAAAATGATGTCACTTCCTGGAGGATGTTGACATTCAAGGGACAGGCTTTAGTTAGTTAAAGGGATTTTACAGAAGACTAAGTTGATTGGTAATTAAAACAATATTTTCATTAAAACATGCTTTGTTTGAAACATTTTAATTCGATAAGGAAAACATTGAAAGTACCTGGTGCATTTCTTAATAAATTGCCAGTTTTTCATGTTTTCCATCTTTATTCCCCTATTTGTTAATAAAAATACAGTATAATTAGACATAAAAATTTGCTGATAGTAGGAATGACCTCAAGTGTATAGCTGAATTTACGGTCCATCGTATGGAAGTTTCATACGACTCAGTTTTTGTGTAAATTCCTGTATTTGGCCGAAATGCATTCAAAACATGAGTAAATATACAACAAGAGAAAGGTATTGTTTTCCTGGGCTTTCCGGGCAGTGTTGCTGATCTAATATCTCAAGCCCGAAATGCAATAGATGGATGGCGATTTCTCTCAAGGTTCTGAAGGGGGCTTTGTTACAAACTCGGCTCTCCATATTTATCTCCCATCAGCCCTTGCTCTGTTTGCCTCTATCTGAGGCACTTGTGTGGAGGAGATCAGTCATGAACCTCTCAGATGTCTGTTTGCATTGCTCAGGCTGCTCCTCATGCATGGCGGAGGCAAATCAGCGCTGTCAGACCAGCCTGAAGAGAAATGATACATACTGATACTCAGATTACCTCCACCTCCTGCTCTGCTCAACCCAGCCAACAATTCAAATGTCTCAAAACATTTGTAGTAGCTGAAATAAATATAAGTTTATATTTGTGCTAAGAGCATCTGTACATCACAAGTCTCGGATCTCAAAGTCGTTATGATTTACTGATGGGATTGTAAAGTTAAAGTAGGTTTCCCAAATATCTCCCAAAAACCATATGTCATTACAGAAACAAAAATGCTGAAAAGATATGTTAAAAATAAATATACAGTAATTTTTTTTTCAGCATTTTGGTGTATATATAATTAGATAATATGCATTTGAAAAATGTATACATTTATACTACATAAGTATACATCTTTGCAATATACTATACTACACTGTTGTACAATATATATTTATGTTCAATTCAATTAAAAAGAAAGCAAGATTGTGTCTGTACAGGGTTATCACTGTGTTATAGCAATGACAATGATTTAATTTTCTCAATGAACAAGAATTTTCCCTAATTGATCCTAAAATTAACTTTATTTTGTTGCACATTTGTTTTATAGTGAAATATAATTCAGACCTATCTTTTGTGAGATTTACTTAATAGAGTGGCAGGAAATTATGAGGGGCGTTAAGGTCAAGAAATGTTGCAAGCCAGACTTGAACCCAAATCACCCACATAAGCACTCATCTTAAAGGGATAGTTCACTTTGAAATAAATGTTTGGTATGTTTTAGCTTACCTCAAGGGCATCCAAGATGTAGGTGTCTTTGTTTCCGCAGTATTTTCAATTTTGATATTTTTAGGTCAAACCGTTCTTGTCTGTCAGTCATATAATGCAGGTCTATGGTCACCACCTCAAAGAGCATGCACAGAGAAGTCCAAATTAAACATGATTTAATGACTCGTAAATGTAAGTACACATTGATGGCCTAAGACACGAAACGAGCGGTTTGTGTGAGAAAACGAACAGTATTTATATCGTTTTTACCTCTTGTAACCACAGCCACGTCCAAGTGATCTGAGGGCGCCGGCGCTTCGGTCTGTGCGTTACAAGAGGTAAAAACTATATAAATACTGTTCGTTTTCTCACACAAACCGCTCGTTTCGTGTCTTAGGCCATCAATGTGTACTTACATTTACGAGTCATTAAATCATGTTTAATTTGGACTTCTCTGTGCATGCTCTTTGAGGTGGTGACCATAGACCTGCATTATATGACTGACAGACAAGAACGGTTTGACCTAAAAATATCAAAATTGAAACTACTGCGGAAACAAAGACACCTACATATTGGATGCCCTTGAGGTAAGCTAAAACATACCAAAAATTTATTTCAAAGTGAACTATCCCTTTAACATATTTGGAGCCACACCGTAACCTCTGCTCCACAGTTCCAAACCAAAAGGAAAGTATTTTGCACATTATATAGTTTGATAATAAGCATAAGCACTAGGAAATTTGCCTGGAAACTGTTTCTTTGTCCTCTTGATGTGTTTGTGACCGGCATGAGTCTGAACGGTCCACTCAACAGGAAAATGAACGTTAATTTGAATTTGTGGAGGGACAGTTAGCAACATAATGACTGATTAAACATCATGGTTTTCCCCAAACTTTAATCTGGACCAGGTATTCCCATGGGAAAGGGAAACAGATGGTCACACCAGCCGACATGCGGCATGAGGAGAGTGCCGGAAACCGAGTAAATCAGTGACATCACCCTCCATCCCTTCCTCCTGTCTAAAAAAAAAAAAAGAGCGATCAATTATCCGAAACCCTCTGATGAAATTGGAATATCCATTAGCAATATCCACAAGGGCAGTGAAAGATGGCCTGTCATTTAGGCTTTAGCTAATGGCTTTGTAATGGTTCCCCTCACGACTTTTGTACAGCGGGCTGGAATGGGTCGGATGAGTCCCTGGATATGTAGGCTTACCGAGCCCTCCCATTGGACGAGAGCCAGGCAATGCCATTCTCTTATTGGCAGCTTTTTTTTTTTGTATTCTTCTCTGACTCCTCCAAACTGGCCTCTGGGCCCCTCTCCCCTTCGTTTAAAACTTTAATTTGCCTCCCAATGCCCAAACAAGCGAAACAAATGTACATACGCCGGCCAAAGACAATCAGCAGAGCGAGCAGGCAGTCTGGAACAGCCACCATGAAAAGAAAACAAACATTTTCTCTTGTTGAATTGAAGGTGTTGCGCCTGCCCAGTGCATGTTGACGGTTCATTTCTCCATCGCATTATCTCAGTCTTCCCTTATGGAACAGCCATCTCAGGGGGAACCGAGCTACAGCAGACATGCTTTACCGAATGCAACCAGAGTTCCTCTCTGAATGTTAATAAACCTCTGCTTTATGAAACCATTTATATTTCTAAAGAAGTAGTCTTAAAGCAGGATTTAGCATAACCACTTGGGAATTCTGTCAGTATAATGTGTGATTCTTCTAAAAAGTGTTGTGTCAGCCCCAGAAACACAAAGAACGTGAAGAAGTGAATGGAAAAGTAATGCCTTGTTTTCTTCTAACCACAATCATAAAGGAGCCAGAATACTCTAATGTTTATCAGAGAAGAACAGGACGCTTGCAGAGAGGGGCATGGGTCGTACAACACAAGGTACATGTGTGCAGTAAAAGAACGTGAGCGCTCTCGGGTGGGGCGTACTGGGTTTCACGGGGATAAAAAACCCACACCGCACTTTAGTTCCATAAGGATGTCTCTGTTTCCCCACGTTCTCTGAAATGGTGCTGGTGCCCAGCTAGGGAACCTGCGGACCTCTTTCAGAACCGCCCCCACATTTCAACTGGCTGGGGAGACGAATGTTTTCATGACTGGCTACGTTTCTTAAACCATAGCTCTTAGCATTTTTTAAAAGTCTTGCAAGTGTCCAAAACATTTTAACATTCAAAGCTGTTTTCTCACACGCTGGGAGATACCTTTGTGCTGTTATACAAAACATCAGCACACTTGGACCTCCGCCAGCTAGATTCAAGGTTGAGAACTAACTGTTGTTTAATTAAATACCCATCGCTGTGGGCGTTTCCAGTATAAACAGCTTTTTAAATGAAAACGATAAGCTTTTGCTTGAGCTAGTTTTGTTTAACATCAGTCTTGCTAGACTGAGGAGTTGTTGTTTTAAAAACATTACTTGATGAGGAGATTCTCCCGCCCTCTGTTCTCTGATGTTGTCGGTTAATAATTTGAGTTCAGTGGGTTTATATTAGAGAGGGGTTTTTTTTTTATGTCCCTGAACACCGTTTTTCCTGCCGTTGAAAAACGTGGAACGGTTCCAAATTGGGCGCTGGATCCGGCACCAGCACCCTGTCATTGGAAAATGGGGTTTGTTTGTCCTCGTCGGCCTCTCCACTCTTGTCCATTTACACAAATTCGCATTTTGTGTTTGCACATCTGTGTCTCCCTCTTGCACGCATGTCTCACTCTCGTTCCATCTGTCCATCTCTCCACCTGTGTGTAGAAACATAGCAAAGCAGACATTCCTAGAGACTTTACAGGACAACTTTATAGAGATGGACATACTGGCCACAGCTCGCCACGACGGCGCTTACACTGATGGGTATGTTGCATGATCTGACCGCGGCTGCCGGAATCTGCTTTGCCATGCAGCATAGTGGTACCTGTGCACACTTGTTTCTCATTACATAGTGCAATTTGTAACACAATCTAACATTTTTTTTATCACTTACTATATGAATTGCATGTTTTTAATCATTTATTTTTTAACACCAAACTAACAACTTTTTTTAATTAACCCTGAATGCATTAGCATTCTTTGCTAAGGAATTGTTCATAAGGCCAAGTGCGCATTACAAGACAGAAACATGCTACTTTTGAGTGAACTTTCCATTTAGCACTTTTAGTGGGCACAATTTATTCTTAGAGAATCTGATTTAGAGCATCAGTTTTTTGTGAAATTTAAGGTACAAACCTAACGGGATAATTAACCCAAAAATGTTGAACATAAAAGAAGATATTTTGAGGAATATGGGTAACCAAACAGTTGAGTAAATGATGACAGATTTTTAATTTTGTGTGAACTATCCCTTTAATGCTAGTCTTTAGTTGGACAGGACAGTGAAAGAGAGACAGGAAATAACTAGGGATGAGAGTAGGGGACGGTATCAGGAAAGGATATCGGAGCATCTTGGGACGTGTCTCACTAGTGCACACACATTTGGAATAGCTTCGGTGAGACATGCTAAGAGGCTACTGCCGTTGCTTTTTGGTCGCAGATGAGTCAAATTTAAAACATGAAGGGGAGCAAGCTGAACAAGCTTCTGTCTTGTGGTGTGTGCTAGGCTTAAGAGTTTTTGTAAGTCTGTTCTTGTACCTCATTAGGCTAATGTTTGTTTCTGAGTTTCCCCTCATCCGGTCAGTACAGCTTGACAGCAGTTTTCCAAGTCAGTGACTTAACCATAGATTACAACACCAGCTAACTAACTAAGCTTTTTTGAGCTACAGTAGCATCTCAATTCAAGAGAACTGGCCACAGTGAATAAGCTGTCCTGATAATGTACATCCTGCAATATCCCACAACTTCTTGACACACGCACCCTTAGGGTGAATTAGAAGTCACAAGGGCTTGTATTAACAAGAGTCCACTGTGGTCACTCGGGCTGTAAATTAAATTTGATATTGATTCAAAATTTCGATATAACGCACCCCACGGGGCACAGTGCGTCTCGCTGCCAGCCAGCACTTAGAGGTGGCTATGGCAACAGCTTGGAAAAGTGCTTGGCGATAGCAGTACTGACCAGTGCGGGAACACAAGCCTACACACTCTACAGATACCGTTTAACATGATGAGAAAACACTCATCACACAGTGCTCTCCAACGGCCCATGTTTTTTTGAACATAAGCAACAGCATTTTTGCATCTCTGCAGACACTTTCTGTTCAAGCCTGGCGGGACCTCGCCCTTGTACTGCACAACTTCTCCCGGCTACCCTTTGACGTCCAGCACGGTATACTCGCCTCCACCCCGGCCCCTGCCACGGAACACCTTCTCACGGCCTGCCTTCAGCTTGAAGAAACCCTATAAGCACTGCAACTGGAAATGTGCTGCCCTCAGTGCCATCCTCATCTCCGTCACCCTGGTGTTCCTCTTGGCCTACTTTATTGGTAAGTTCACCATTCTACGTCCTCATCCACCCTTACAACTGCGTCAAAGATGTGACCAATATGAAAGATGGCTTATGGGTTTCTTTTTTTATTCTTTAACCCTTAAACGCATACGATTATGAATTGACGTTTCACTCATAGTTACCGCAGGCAGAAAACAAGAGAATAGGAAGTATCATCAGCAAAATTTGAAATGGCTCAGCGATTTACTGCAGAGCAAGTACTGAACGCAATCAAATATTAGGTGGATCTGGTGAAGAAGCTGTCAGCGATCAAAATATTGATTATGAAGATGTTGATAATGATAGTTTTGAGAATGTTTGAGAACGCGAATGTGCTGAATGCACTGGGAAATGAGCTCTGACGAGGACAGCGATGATGGTATAAAACTCAATCTGCTCAAACTGAACCTGTCCAAGCTCCAAAAGGTAACAAAATATGCTTTATTTTTATTATTCTGTAATTGTTACTCTAATTTCTGGAGAGTTTTATATTATTGCGACAGGTAGAGATCCATCTGTGTTAGATATAGATCAGCGTCGCTTAAAACCCGAATATGTAATAATGATTGGCATTCATTCACATTTATGCATTTAAAGGGATAGTTCACTTTGAAATAAATTTTTTATATGTTTTAGCTTACCTCAAGGGTATCCAAGATGTAGGTGTCTTTGTTTCCGCAGAAGTTTCAATTTTGATATTTTTAGGTCAAACCGTTCTTGTCTGTCAGTCATATAATGCAGGTCTATGGTCACCAACTCAAAGAGCATGCACAGAGAAGTCCAAATTAAACATGATTTAATGACTCGTAAATGTAAGTACACATTGATGGCCTAAGACACGAAACGAGCGGTTTGTGTGAGAAAATGAACAGTATTCATATCGTTTTTACCTCTTGTAACGCACAGACCGAATCGCCTGCGCCCTCAGATCACTTGGACGTGGCTGTGGTTACAAGAGGTAAAAACGATATAAATACTGTTCGTTTTCTCACACAAACCGCTCGTTTCATGTCTTAGGCCATCAATGTGTACTTACATTTACGAGTCATTAAATCATGTTTAATTTGGACTTCTCTGTGCATGCTCTTTGAGGTGGTGACCATAGACCTGCATTATATGACTGACAGACAAGAACGGTTTGACCTAAAAATATCAAAATTGAAACTTCTGCGGAAACAAAGACACCTACATCTTGGATGCCCTTGAGGTAAGCTAAAACATATCAAAAATTTATTTCAAAGTGAACTATCCCTTTAAGGGTTAAAAAAACCAAAAGCTTGAAGGGGGTTTGCTACTCTTAGCTGGTTTACCTGGTCTGCCAGGATAACCAGCTGACAGGACACGAAACGGTTTAAAAATGACAAATCAGACAAATCCTGACAAGTGGAAACCAACTTGGTGGTCAGCAAACTGTTATACTTGTTTATGTACTTGTTATATTGTTGTCCTAAAGGCTGAAGCAATCTTTTGTCATTTAAGCACTTCTCTGAATCCAAGCTGCTGATGGTAATCAGTACATCTCACTGAACTGATATGACTTTTGTGTTGAATTTGATCTGTTTCCGCCTTGTGACAGAGTAGTGACGCATATAAAGATGTCGTATGTGATTCACTTTTCAATCATTTGAAAGCTCGGCTCCAGCAGATTACAGTGAGCATTATTGATCTCTCACATTGTTAGGAAAGTTCAATGTCCCACAACTGTATTCAGCTTGGTCAGTGAACCAAATCAATAATGGACAACAGATTAAGTGAGATATGATTGAGCCATAGCAACAGTTTGATTTGATTTTTCCTGCGTGGTTAACACATAGAATCAGTAACTCTCTGTGATACATTGTATGTACAGCTATATTAGTTCTGCACTATATTAGTCCAGAGTGTTACTAGGTGTCTGCTAACAATTCTGTTATGCATTTCGTATAATCCCATGAAAGAAGTGGAATATCCGACATACATGTGAGAAGATAAGAGCTTGTCTAAAGCGGTTCCAAATAAAGTTTGTCCATTCCTTCGAGAGTAAATCAATAATAACAAAAATGTTTTGTATAACCCAATATCTTTTAGAGGACAGCCTGAAATGGGTTTGCATAATGTGTGTCTGCTTTGAATGTAAATTGTTCTGTGTAATCTAACACAGAGCCCGCAAAATGAAATAATACTTTTTGAAGTTGAAAGGGGGCGGGGCGGGCTGAGTTCAAGTCATTTGCACAAGGTGCATACAAATGGAGATCTCACAGATGTGTTTTCATTATTAAAGATAAACAGCTTTCCACAGCTTAGGCACTGAGAATAAATATGCATTGCAACAGAACTAAAATGAGCTCTAACCATCCATCCATCCATTCCATTCATCTATTTAAAAAAAAAAAAAAAAAAAAACTTAATTGCTACCCTGTGATTCTCTACATTGATTTGGAACCTAAATTAAAATTCTGTTAGCTGATAATGCTAATTGCTCAGCTTTGTTCAAAACGCTAATGACCAGCCTACCGTTGAAGCATTTTAAGGTAATCATGTGTGCTTTGTTTGATGTACACTATTTATGTGGCGTGGAGTGACTGACCTTAGTAGCTGCTTTAAGTAAAATGTTTTAAATCACTTTTAGGAATCGTTTGGATTCTGCCTTAGAGGGTAGCATGTAGGTAGTATACAGTGTGGCAACTTGCAATGTTTTAAAAGAGATCCGTGTTCCAAAAACTAGTATGCTGCCTAACTATAAAGCATCATAGACGTGCTTCAGGCGACCATTCAGTAGGCAGCAATGTCATGCTTTTTTAAAAGTGTTGAATGCATTGGAAAAAATGTGTCATGCTATCTGAGCTATCCTTGAAAAGACTGTCTAAAAAAGGCAACAGCTTATAGGAACAAGCCCACTATGTTTTTGGAACAAAACTAGATACTATTGTCTACATTAAAGGCCTAAGCACTGAGCTTAATGAAGCTGTTCTCTGAGTTAGCTGGAGGGCTAGTTAAGCTCTGACCTTGTTAGGAGCCCTGCAAAGCCCACCAACCCGATGTGTCTTAATCACTTCATGTAATTAGACACCCCACCCCATCCTAACCCTCTTCCAAAATCAAGCTCATCTCCCTGTGCACCTCAGGTAAACACGCATGAAACCGTTGCTCACCCTGAGAATCTGGGTTTCAATCAACAACAAGGGGTCACATTTAATTAAAAGCTGATGAGAAAATATATTTAATTTCAAGTGCAATTAATTATGTAGGCCTGTAATTGGTAACTCTAGCTGTGTTGTCTAATGAACCCAATTAAACCTCCTGACAGATGTTTTTGACTTGCTGCATAGTTTAGCTATTTCCCCCCCTATTATTTTTCTGTGTAGTTTGCAAGAACTGCTTCCTTGAAAGGAGTGAGATCGCAAAATTGGGATTCGTGTGCCATTTTCTCAGTGGTGGCATGCTCATTAAGAAGGTCATTATGTCCTCGGCATCTGAAGGTCATCAGCTTCCCTCTGTGTTCATTTCTTAGCTCGCTGGGCCCTCATTTTACCTCCCAACATGCAACCTCACTCATAGCCACAAGACACTCACTAACTGTCTATTGACTTTGAAGTGACAATCTTTTGTTTTCTGTCCCTTTTTTCTCCAGAATAACAACCAGCTAGATGTATTTTCAGTTCTGCCCTCATCAAAGTATATTTTTGTATTACATGTCTTGTCAACACAAGGTATTGGATTGGTTTTTCTGGGGTTGAAAGTACTGGTGGTGTTTATAGGTCTTATAGAGGTTGTGCGGTTGTGTCACTGCAACATTTTGGCTTGTGGTAGCCTAAATTATAATGAAGGGACTTTTTTTGACCTAAATATGAATTACTTTGTAACTGGGAAGTTAGGTCACAGTCCTGCTCAGCCACCACAGTCTTCTTGAGCATAATACTTTGCACCAGGTTATCCCAGGGGAACTTTCTGTACAATTAGTGTAGCATCTCTGTGGATAAAAATTGCCTAGTCAATTGGCAAGTTACTATTAACTGTCTGCCAAATCAGAGCTGTTTTATGGAGCCATTCTTAGAAAGTGCGTTCTCCGTGGCCAGACTGGAGTGTAGATATTATTCACTCCTGACAGATTCCTGTAAGCTTCAGAGTGAACGTGAAAAAATGGCTTAAGACTTTTTGATCTACTAACTTACTGATGATGTGCATTTCACTGCCTCTCATTTATAGTCAGCAGTCTAAACTTGAAGTGAGACCAGAGAAGGGCACATAGAAAAAAAGGAAGTTCCACTGGGAGTTTGTGTGAAAAGATGAGGCACTCCTGACTGGGGAAACTTAACTCTCAAGAGTGCTCTCCAAGGTCTCACTGGTTTGTCTGCAGATTGATTTCACCTACATGTGATTTTTAAGGGCTTAAAATCCATGTGTGCTCAAATAAAGCAATCCACAAAGACCTGAAAGATAAACTCAAGAACAAACTGTTCACTGAATGAAGTAGCCTCCCTCAACAACCTTCTGTTTTAATCAATGTAAACTCCAAATTCCTACTTTTGTTGTGTGTAAATTAAGGACACTCCTCAGACCTGTCATCTTGGTTATCTCACTTTAGTTTGCAAAAGTGGTGTCTGGTACCTCCACATCTGCCTTTCTGTTTTTAGATACTGTAAGTTTCTTGATGAAGATTCAGTAGAATATGAGATGGATGCCCAAAAAGTGCTAAAGATCTTGCACACCAGGATCTCTACAGGAGGGGTGTCAGAGTAATTAGATGGCTAATGAGAGGACTGAGAGCTGCCGTGTTCAACGCTCATCCATTCAAGTGTCTAAGGGGAATTAATTAACCATATGCTTGCTAATGCGCCCTGTCCATTCTATGATGGATGAGCAAGAAATGGCATTTCTCAACCTGGGACTACCCTTCCCACAGATAGCAGCACTGTCCTCTTTTTTGACCTGGGATAGTGTTTGTTGTGTTTAGTGGTTTGTTTTTTGGAGGTAAATGTGGAATAGATAGTGTCTTTTGTTGTCTGTTTTCTCAGGAGGTGTTGCAAAGGTTTCAAACACAGAAGTGGAACAGTAATGAGCCTTGTGTTCCACTCAGACTGAAGCAGTAGTTTGTTCAAGCTTTCTGCTTCCTATTTGGCTTGCACGAATCTGCCAAAGTGGCCTGCCAAAGCAGAGATTGCAGGGTCGCTTGCATTTCAGCACGGCTGCCGTTTTACTCTCAACAGGTCGTGGGGTCTTTCCACTTGCCGTTCCAGCGGGACCCTCATTAAAAACACCCAGTTTAGACCGCTTCCACCTGTCCCTGCTTTGCTCTGTATTCATGAAGCCTGAGTGACAGCTGAGAGAGAGAGAAAGAGACTGAGTGAGTTTGGATGATGGAAGAGTTTGGGCTAGGCAGGGGAACATATTTCATAAGCTGGACTCTTTCCAACGCACTCTGGAAATCATAGTTACCGAGACAGCTCGGACATAAATCATAATGAGGTTTGGTTGCGGGGGGTGGCCAGGAAGTGTGAGGTATTTTACATCAGAGCTAGATAGTAGCAAAGGGGTCCAGATGGAAGATGGGCCCCTTGAAGGAGCAATTACTTCGACATTTGGAATGACACCTAGACCCATGATGCCTTAGATTCAATTGTCCACTGCCCATGCGCCAACTGCACTCTCCGCTTCCTCCCACAGAGCCACAAATCAACCAGTGTGCTGCAGAAAAAGAGAGTGAGCTAGAGGAATGCCTTACTCGATCTCGGGTGCTGACAAACCAAGCCATCTGTCTCATAGCGTGTCTGTCCGCCTTTGACACAGTCAATTCCAGCGGTACTGACGGGGGCGGAGGCGCCTGGTCGTTTGCATTTATATTGTCTCTCAAGGCAGCCACGACTTTTTATCGCCTCCACAAATGCTCTCTTGCAAAAGTAACGGCAACATTCAGATCTTTCGTCAGAATGGTCCAAATCTGTCGGAATGCAATCAACAAAATGCGTGCCCTGCAATTTTCCAAATGGCTATTGATTGAGTAAGCTGGAGGATGGCCACTTTCATCCGCCATGGCAACGCCTGTCAAAGGCTTCATCGTTTTTCAGGCCACATTTTCACCGTTTAGTAAATGTGGGGTGGTTACCAAGTAATATGGCTTTAATTAATGGCTGAACATGCAAAGGGATGCGAAGCAGAACTCTCCATTTGTCACGACTAGTTTGATCCGCAGTCTGTGAGCCGTGCTCTGGGCTTTTAAAACTGCCAATTTGATGCTTCTGGTTAAGCTAGGGCAAGCACATCTTTGCAGAATCTTAAGGATCATTGATTTTACAACATGTAAAGCAGGACAGAGGATATCCAAGCAAAGGCCCAATGAAGCAATTAGACAAAGCTCTTTGTTTTTCTTTGAAAATGAATTCAGACACATCTTTCCCTCTGTAAACACCACTCCAGCCAATCAGCCCCTACTCAGTGAGGCATTTCCCTCTTAGTTTTTTTATTATTATTGTACCCGACAGTCCCCCACCACCAACACTAAGAAACAAAGTGCCTCTACTACTTTGTTCTATTTCTAGTTATGTTCTTTGCACAGTTTTATTTTGAACTAAAATAACACCCAACACCAGGAAATGATTTTTATGATGCTAAAAAAATGAATTGATGAATTGCTTTGTTCCTATGGAGTCCAGTGCCAGACATTTCCTGATTATTTGAGATAAAGTTCTAGTCTGTCTTATTTTTTTATCTGGTTGGACTTTTTTTAAAGGGTTTTTCACAGCACTTCATATACTGTACCTACAAAGGGCTTGATAGTCAATGTTTTTTAACAGGGTGTGTAGGTTATGAGCATTGCCTTATGAGCATTGTCTCGTAAACGCCTCATTTGAAGTGTTAAGGTGATGATACACAGGGCAACTTTTTGAGCAATGTTGCTGGGCAATGTTGCCGTCAACGGGCAACCAGATGAGACACAGGGCCCACGACCGATCTAAATTATCCAGATAGAAATGTATTGCCCATTTTCAATGGGAAAGTGCCCAAGCAACAATCGCTCGGCAAGATTGCCCAGCAACATTGCTCAAAAAGTTGCCCTGTGTATCATCACCTTTACTGTAAAGTTTTTTTCCTTATTTTTGTTTTGGTATTCTTTAATCTAAAAATCTGCTGAATAATTTTAGTGTTCTTTCACACAGAAATCAAGATTGAGTGGAGGTCTGGTAATTATGCCAGCTATACGTTTCTTTCAGAAATGTTTTGACAGAAGAATAAATCATTCATTTAGACCTTTTCTCAACCTGATTGAGACAAGATATTTGCTGCGACACAAAACAAATACATTGTCACCTCTCCGAAATATTGAGTGGAGCGGAAAAGTAATTTTAGCCCCGAATTGTCACTACGGGTTGTCAAGAGAGTGTGGCAGAGGAAAACCACTTGTGCAATTTGAAACCAGCTCTGTACTTATGAAGGAGAAACAGGAACTCATGTAGGGAGACAAATGGAGCATCCGAAAGAGGCTCGAGATCATTTGTTTTATCTACTCCGACACTGCCATAGTCCACCATAGTTGGTGCCGACAGCAGTTGTCTTACATACTTTGGCTGCATCCCAATAGGTATACTATCAGTACTATAAGATGCATTATAAGATTATCTCATCCAATGGCACAGTGGCACCCACATGCGTGTGTCTGTTAAGTCCACATGACCGTAGGGTGTCCCGTTTTTCATTTTAGGTTTCAGAAGGGTGCTCGCGAGCGCCCCCTTTGCAGCATATATACGACCTCGATGCTCACTTTTGCCAGACTTCTACCGGAGTCAAAACGGCATTACATCACGAAAGTGTAGACTTGGAGGAAGATCTCAAGGGCTTAGGGTTCCGTTTGGGACAGGACCTTTAACTTCCAACCAATGGTAGAACCAATGTTGCTAAATCAGGCTGGTCTGAATGCTCAAACAAAGATGTTTTGATAGTGCCTCCAAACCACAGTTTTTACACTTTTGGGGGAATAACCCTATGATTGACTTATAGTTGTCTCTGTATGTACAACTCTGGTAACAGAAAATATTGTAACAGTTGCAAAAAACACAAACAGTGTTCGATGCATGTTAGTGAATCTGTCATACTGTTTTACCGCATACCCAACAGTGTGTACTTTTCAATTACCAGTAAAGTACTTAGTGTGAATTGGTATTCAGCCCAGCTTCACAAGCTTAACTGGATTCTTTGGTTATTTACATCATGTGCTTAGAACTTCCATCTCCACTGTGTAAGAAAGAGCTCCAAAGGCCTTTTGTTGGCATTTTATCTGCTGACTGAAGACTTCCAGGACAAGGTTTTGCCTGGCTAAGCTGGTCCTGACCATTCTTGTCCTGGTGATCCATCATGCCTGGCCCCTCCTTCCCTGTTCACTGCGCCATCAGAGTTCATCCCAATGGTTTCTTCTTTTGTTGACCTTGTGAAATATCGCTGTGTCTTCTGGTTCTGCTCATGCATTCATCCGTACCTCTTGTTGTGTTCCTGCTGACTTGATCATTTCCTTGTCTCTTTAGCCACTGGGGGTATTAGCAAGTTAATGGGGATGAAAAAAAAAAAGTTGCCCTGTGGGCTCTGGCTTTTCTGTCTGTGGGTTGTTCAACATTTATTATTATTATTATTCTTTTGCCCATAAGGGACAACTTTTTTTTAGTTATTGTTTGTTTACGCAGTGCCACGAAACATACACCAGTTATTACTGGTGCTCAATTATTATTAATGGTTCTTATTATGATCAATGTTGAAGCAAGTTTTTGCTGCTTAACATGTTTGTGGAGATCATGATTTTTTCATTAATCTTTCATGAATAGAACGTTCAAAAGAACAGCATTTATTTGAAATAGAAATCTTTCTTAACATTAAATGTCTTTACTGTCACTTTTGATCAAATTTTCTTTTCATAAAAAAAAAAAATCGTACCTACCCCAAACTTCTGAGGGATCGTATGACACTGAAAACTGGGGTAATGAAGCTGAAAATTCAGCTTTGATCACTGGAATAAATTATAATTGAAAATGCATTACAATAAAAACAGTTCTTTTAAATTATAATAATATTTCACACTATTGCTTTTTTCCCTTGTATTTTTAATCAAATAAATGCAGCCTTGGTGAGCAGAAGAAATACTGTATATACTTTATACTTTATATACAAAACTTATATATGCCATATATGCAGTTTGCATACATATTGCTATATTACATATACCTTTTATCTTTAATTGATAATGAATGACTGTCCATTCTTCAAATCCAACAACAGCGATGACATCATATTTGCATATTAATCTGCAGTCTGCTGTGGTTCTCTTGGTGCTCTTAAACTCTGCCAAAGATTAATCAAGTCAAAATATATTTGTTTTCTTACAGCTTTGGTTTAATTACCCCACAGCCTTCAGGATGTTAATTTTCTGATGCAGTGTCTATAGTATTCCTTGGTGAATCTAATTTAATTACACTAATGTACAGCAAGGCACATGCTCAGGAATCACTGCTCCAACAGAAGTAAATTTACCATCTGGTACCGCTCTTTCTCTTGCAGCCATGCACCTCTTCGGACTCAACTGGCATTTACAGCCAATGCAGAGGCAGATTTACCAGCTGACGGAGGACAACACGAGTGGCCTTCATCTGCCCACAGATCTGGGCTTGCCGCCTCTGGGCAACACGGGTCTAGAGTTTCCAGATCGAGGAAGCAAAGATGATGGTATGTCCAAATCTTTAAGTCTATATGAAATCACAAATTACTGTTTACTTTTGAAATGCTTGTTCCTGGTGGTTTTTACGCATGTGTCATTGTTGTATGTTATTCTGGTGTTATTCACATTTGGATTTGGCTTTATTCTACACTGTGGGAAAAAAAGTGGTGAAGAAACAGTTTCAACTCAGAAATTATAGTAAATTTGTAAATTACAAACTAATAAATGCACAATTTTTAAGTGGGATGACTGAAATAGTATTTTCTTGTAAAATGTACTTCAAAAATCTTTATATAGAACACATTTTTACAGTATAGCATGAAATGTCCAGTTAACAAGTTCTGCCCTTAATTTTTTGTTAACTATATTCCGTTTCACTTGGATAATTAGATTGTGAATGCTGTTTCATGTTGACTTCTTTGAGATGTGTTAAAAAGCGATCCCTATTAGGGTGAAGATAAATAGCAGCCCTGATGTTAAAAAAGGCAGCAGCTCGAGAAGTTTGGTTGGAAAAAATAAGAAGTTCTTTCAGCCTTGATTAACCTTAAACATTTTTTTTTTTTTTTTTTTTGGCCAAGCGTTTGAACTCATGCCCTTCAGTCATCTCATATCCGACAACACATTCCAACATTTCAAGCTAATTTCCTGCCAGATTCGCATGAACTCATCTCCTGCTAATTTCGCTCCGTGCTGGCCAGTATTATAACGTCTTATTTTTGATTTTCAAAGGATCCAGGATTATTTGTCAGCCAGCTCCATGCTGTGACCAGTCTCAGTTGCTTGCCATGAGATCTGCATTACAATCCAATGAAAGTTGCAGGGAAAATGGGAAGGGTATTATTTGTTCCTGGAAGAACGAATGGCACAGCTTTAGGGATTGAGTATCCAGGGGCTCAAGGCAGATTAGAACTTGCCCCATCCAAAAAGCCATGCATTCCTTTCATCTCCAAGACTGGACAAGAGTTTTCCTGGCAGCGGAAGAAAGCAGACACTAACCCCCACGGTCATGGAGACAGAAGTTCGTACAGTAGGAAAAGTTCGCTTTTCCGTGAGCACTACCCATATTTAGCCGTTTGATTTGCCACAGGCCTCGGACAAAAGGTGGGAGATCAGACCATTACCATTTAGATGAGTCACCAAGATGTCTTTTTTCATTTAGCAGCTGGCAGAGAGAGAGAGAGCGAGCGAAACCACAAACATGGAGGCCGTGGCAGTTCCTCCGTTTGAGTGGCATCTGCGGCTGAGGGGAAATCAATAGGCCCGGCTTTTTAATTCTGACTGTCAGAGTAACATTGTCATCAGGAACACAGCAAATCAATCTAGCATCCCTGTGCTGTACATCCCTGGTATTAACTTAAATTAACACTGTATCAGAGAGGTTTTCTGACCGTTGCACTGTCTAGTTGCACATCAGTTCAATTACCCATAAACATGTTATCTGGAAAGTGCCAGTGAGACATTGTTTAAACTCATGCATTCGCCATACTTTACTCCTTGCTCCATTCGCCAAACTTTACCAAGCTTTACTCCTTGGGCACTGTGATTGGCCATCTGTGGGTGAATGTTATTTCACCCCAAAATAATAATAAAAAATACTCTTTATAACAGTGGTTCTCAACTGTTCTCAACATTTTCCCATGGTCATTGAGCCTCGACTCAAATTTTTAAGATCCAAGCTAATTTATTTCTCAAAAATGGTTAACACACACACAAAACCATCCCACTTTACTTTCTCATGAGAAGTTCCCATTAACGTAATACAATATTTGTATTATTATTATAAGTTATTCTTATTTAAATCATCACAAATTAAAGCCAGTACAAGAAAAACTGACATATTATTAATTGGTTGATTTTAATGGCAATAGCTGGTCCTAATAGTCTTACAAACTTTGTATTGAAGATTTGTTTTTTTTTTTGTTTTTTTTGTTTTTTTTTTAAATGGAACATATCATTTCTTATTTTTTGCTTTTTTCTTTGATTTTGTGTGAAATAATACCCGGTCATGGTCTCAACAAGTTTCGCAAGTTCGCCCAATGGCGATATGCGGCATAGCTGAATTTTCACAAGATGTGTAATTGCGACTGATGTGGTAATGCGTTATGTGGAGGTGGTAAATTGGAAGACGGGAATGCATGTCCTGTCTCTCCAGATATGGCAAAGTGCAAATGATTGACTTTTGAGGAGACTACCATCTGCTGTAGTGCGTGTAGCCCGACGCGAACGCTGCCTGCGAGTCCTCTGGGCTCTCTTTGCAAGGATGTCTGCTTTTGTCGCCATCACTGTGGAAATTGGCCAATCCACCCGAGTGAGCAGATGTTGCTCTTTCCTCAGGGTCCAATGAGGAGGGCACATCAACATTAGGTGCAGAGGCATTTTCTCCAAGGATGCGAGGGAGGCACTGCCTCGGAAAACATTCTGATGTGTAAATAATTGAAAGTACAAAAAATAAAACAAATAGATAAATCACTTGTTTTAATGCCGAATCAAATTCCAAATCACTTGACTTGAAACATCTGTCACCATAATTGCACTTGTCTGTTTATGGTTTATCTGTTTATTGAAGGTTCGAGAACAAATTAAAATTTAATGAAATAAAAAAGTAGTTATTTTTGAAGCAATACAAAAAAATTAGGGCTGTCAGTTAAACGCGTTATTAACGGCGTTAACGCAAACCCATTTTAACGGCGTTAATTTTTTTATCGCACGATTAACGGTCTTTTTGGCCTAGCAAACTTTGTTTTGTTTTTTTCACATGCTTTTGCAACAGGACGCGGCATGCGCGGCGCTGCGCTATGAAACCCATTCATTTCAATGGCTTGCGCCGTGCGAGGATGTTTTGAAAGCGCAAGTGGATCTAGCTAGACCGGAAACAAAACAACAGGCACGCCACACACACTTGTTTGGGCTTGCGATCCGGCCAAACTGTAGGTTAACGTTACGTTTTGAGTGGATGACGAGCGCGAGACGCCGAAATGGATGCCAATAAGATTCTGAATGGAAAGTTTACTTTTAAAAAGGTGCCAAATGGTTCCATTGACAAGACCAAAGTGATCTGTGTGTTTTGTCGTTGTGAACTGAGCTATCGTCATCACAGCACGTCCAGTCTGAAATACCACTTGATGATGGCCAAGCACACACACACACACACACACACACACAGCTGATGCGTATTCTCCGCCCCCTCGTCAATATCAGGACCTCGTCAGTATTTCTTTCACCCTTTTATTGATGGACAGTGTTACATTGTGTGAGAGATTATTTGCTCCAAGTGAGAATGTTAGTGTGAAATTGAACACAGTATATGTCAATGTTGTTTTCAATAAAAAACATTTGCAGAAAGCAAGCCGATCCACTTTTCCATGTTGATAAGAGCATTAAAATGAGAAAAAATAATGGGACAAAAAGAAATCAAGAGACATTTAGAATAGATAAAAATGTGCGATTAATTGCGATTAATCGCAAGTTAACTATGTCATTAATGCGATTAATCGCGATTAATTATTTTAATCGTTTGACAGCACAAAAAAAAATATTTGAAATTTGACATTTTGATCAAATATTTTACTCTTGTGTATATGTACTGTATATATTTATGTATGTGTGTGTATATGTATGTATATATATATACACAGAGTATGAACAAATACATTTGTTAAGTGTTAAATATAAGTTTATTAAAAGGTTTGAGGATAAATAAGAATTTACCAGTTTTTAATTTTATTTGTATAATTTTGATGTGATTTTTGATTTTAATACAAATATTTTTATCTATCTATCTATCTATCTATCTATCTATCTATCTATCTATCTATCTATCTATCTATCTATCTATCTATCTATCTATCTATCTATCTATAGTATGTTGTATAAATTAAATCCATTTATTATATTCATAATATAAAAAATTATATTAATACATACTACACAAGTAAAAACCATTTAAAAAATCCACTGCAAACTGCAAAATTTGTTCATATTAAACTTATAAAAACAGCAAATGTATATCTCCCACAAACACAAAATGTTGAGTTTTAGTACCTGTATAGTGAAGTTGCAGCTTTACGGTCAATGGTCAGTGTGGCTATTTTTTCCTGATGTGATGGAAAATCACCAAGAGGGTCATTCACCCAGTACACTGACCCTCTCCTCGCACCATATGGTAGATATATGAGGCGTCGAGCTGACTGATAGATCTCATTTTCCACAGGTAAACTAGATGGCTTTTTCCCGGAGGACAGCTTCATAGACATGGGCGAGATAGACGTGGGCCGCAAAGTCGCTCAGCTGATCCCGCCTGGAATCTTCTGGAGGTCGCAGGTCTTCATCGACCACCCCATGTACCTCAAATTTAATGTGTCTCTTAGTAAAGATGCCTTGGTGGGGATCTACGGGAGAAGAGGCCTGCCTCCGTCGCACACACAGGTGGGTCAGAAAACTTTGAATATTTAAACAATGTTTATTATGCCTTTTCATTTGAATGTTTGGATATTTGTTTGTGTTTTGGCATTTTAATAATTAAAGTAGAAAGAGATAACAAAAAATTTTAGGACAAGAGGGTGAACAGGATCGAGAGACTTCAGTCCGGAATCAAAACCACTTGTCTTAAATGGAGTGTGCATGCTAACCGCTAATTGTTGATGTTTATTTTTTTTTTTTTTTCATTTTAAAAGCTGAATTGCGTAGATTCTGTGGAACTAGATGTTCCAGAACATTACATCTACCATTAGTCAAACGAAGTCCAGCTCCAAACTTAAACCATTGGTTGAAAAGTGTTATGTATTTTAACATCGAAACAACAAAACGACCTTACAAACGCTTATCCTATTTCCGTTAAAAGGTATCAGAGCTTTTTTATTTAGATCAAAAATGAATCACTCCAATTTTATTTGTTTGTCTCCCCCAACACACAAATTCATTCACCATTCATTTGTCAATAGGTTGTAGAAGTAGCATATTCCCCCAAGATTTCATTTCATTTTGTTGCATATCGTCTCAAAGACTCATCTTAAAGGCTTTGACATAAACTGACACTTAATTATAGTATTGAACACAGAGCATCTCTGCCTCTCGTTATTGATTTGGTTCATATATGTGCAGTGGTATTGTGTCACTGGAAATTACTCCAAGACTTTGGTTGATAGACTCTTTTATGTTTTTCTCCTCTTCAATTTTCTGCAAACAGATTTATTTTGTAAGCTTTAAAGCACATGTAGATACAGTAAGGAATAATGTGTTTGATGAGGAGGAAAATAAAGTCTTAAACTGTTATTGCAATGTTTGGCTTAATGCTATGCTATGGCTTAATTTCTTACTTGGCTTATGAACAACTGTCAAACAAGAATGCCAAGGTCATATGTCATACCAAAAAGAAAAAAATAAGAAACTAAACTATATTTTTTAACTAAACATAAACATAAACAATGATATTAAAATCAGCATAAATAAAAGGCAGTAAACAAAAAAATTACTACCATAAACATTTTTTTTCAAAAATAAATTTTTTATGACATGATTTAGAGGTAAACTGTACAGGTTTGAGGTGTGAGATTCAATACATATATTTGCATAAATTGGTACAGTGTGAGCAGCTGTCTCTTCACACCTAGCATTAGTCCTGTTCTCGCAGTCTCAACCTGCCCTTAGAGACCAGCTCCTGTTGGCTCCAACGTGTAGGACTTATCAGCTCCTGAAGGCTCATGTGTCAGTCCTAATGCTTGTTTGTGGTCTGTCTGTCTCTCCTTGTCTCCAGTTTGACTTTGTGGAGCTGTTGGATGGCCGTCGACTCCTGTCGCAAGGGTTTCCAGGTCTCGAGGGTCCTCCTTTTCCAGCCCAGCAGCGGAGCCTGGTGCCACTCACTAGTCACGATACAGGCTTTATACAGTACATGGACTCGGGTATCTGGCACTTGGCTATATACAATGATGGGAAGGAGACGGAGCAGGTGTCCTTTCTAACAACTGCAATCGGTTAGTACGATATTAAATGGCAATGACGCTAGAGCTTAAAACTTTGCTTTAAATAATGCAATATATATACGTTTAAATGTGCAAATGGTAATGTGAAATGTGTAAAAGAATGTTTGGATGGATCTTCAGTGATAATAGCCATGTTTTCTGATGAACACGGAAGTCTGATTCACATGTGTTCGGGCACGTGACATATTCCAACTTGGCATTGCCAATGAAAACCAGCATTATGCAAACCTGCCATTGTAATAAAAGTTTCAAATCTCTTGATTTTCATTTTCTTTCAGTTCCCATTCACTGGAATGGGATTGACATTGTAATTTTATTTGTGTTAATTTCAAACAGATATCTGAAGCATGCATTTTTCTGATGAAATAGTAGTCCACTGGTAGTTTCGATTTTAAGTAGCAGTCCATTAGTAGTCCAGATTTCGATCAAATACCCTTAAACGACCCTTTTGTTTGTAAAAAAAAAAAAAAAAAACAGTAAGTAATTCATCTGTAGATTTTCTCTAGGGTTGATCTTGTAATCAGATGGCAGTAAAATCATCGACCTCATGTTCCTATTTCAGTCCGTTAACGTCCAAATATGGCCCAAGTCACCACGAAATGGTCATATAAGGACAGGTGGTCACTTAGGTTGCAGCCAAACAACATTCTAAATTCATGTAGCCAAAACAACCAACGAAACCATAAATGACTTTGACCGACAATCTCCACCTTGAGATTATCCACCAAATAGGGCGTATGTCACCATGATATGGACAATATAAGGAAAGGTCGTCATTTAGATTGCGGCCAAAATTATTCTTGCTTAGACGCTTTGGTGCTTCTTCATTGACATGCCATTTTCCAAATTGAAACTACATTCTCAATTCATGTATTCATCATAAGCCTAAACAATCTTCGAACTGATATGGCTTTGGCAGACAATCCCGGCCACAATTATCCAACATTTTTCCCCCAAACAAAATATGAATAAGGCATTGCTAGAAATCTTCACCTGCACCGTGTTACTTGTCAGAGCCTACCATCACTGATATTCCCCTTTTTTGCATTGCTATCTCAGCCAGCCTAGACCTCTACAGAGTAATCAAGGTGGATTTGAATAAGAAAGATTGCGGAAATGAGCAGTGCTTCTCTATGCCTGCGTGTGTTCTTCACTGATGGCTCGTAAGACTCTTGTTAGTTTTTGAGTGCCTCCCAGCGAAATCCCGCTTCCCATTTGCTGTCTATTTGCATAGAACACAGTGGCCTTGATTCAAAGCTTCTGATTGACGACCCTTCCGTTCCCCCATGCATATTATTGGTCATTATTTGATCATATTCACGTGCGATTCTTTCTTCCTGTGAAAGACTTTGCCATTCCATCCTTTGCCATGCTTGATGGAGGCGATTTTGATTTTGTCCTTTCCGTTCCGCATCCTGAAAGCGGCTTTGATTAGCATGAGTGCGTCAGGAGGGAGGGCAGAGCTCGAGGCCGTCGTGAGGTTTCAGCTTTCGTAGAGGTGGCAGCTGTGAGCTGTTCTCACATGCTCTTTAATTAAACGCTCCTGGGCCATGGTCCATCTGCGACGGCAGGGAGGAGGGGTTTGCCAGCCTGTCGATCGATGTGAGTGTGTCTGCCACACATCCATTTCTGCAGTTCATGCTCATCTGGGGAAAGACGGCACTGCGCCCTATCACCCCCAGCAAGGGTGGAATACGATACCTTATATATACGAGACATGACACGGTGGTTTAGGGTGGCGGAGCCAGTCTGTTTATCCTGTGTTCGGCGCTCTTGAAAGCAACCTCCATTGGGAGTTTGTTGGCCACCTGCAGTTCAGGGCCAAGACGGTGGGCTTCAGAGAAAGAGGGCCTGGAATAGGAGTCATGCCTGAGTTGATTTAATTGTGAGCTGTGGTGGTGCTCAGAGGGAGGCAGAAAGTGGAGGTGAAGAACAAGGAGATTGAGAGGGTGAGAAAGACTGAAAGAAAGTAGGTCATGTGGATGGCGACCTTCAAACTGCACCCGGTTTTCAGTACAGAAACACTGAATAAGCCCTTAGTAAACACTGTCACTGAGGCGTTTTCAAAACATTACACTATTTGTTTTGGCTTCCTGACCAATGGCACTGGCTCAAGCAGTGGTGTGAGATTGGGGCGTGGCTCTCTTGTCTTGACCAATCGTGGGCGGGGAACTGTTCAGGAAACGAGACATTTTTGTTTTGACACTTGGTCACTACCGGCGCACACTTCCATAATATCATTCCTTAATGCATTTATGTGAATAATAGAAAAGAAATCGCAAAGAGATTTTTAATATTTCTATTTGTCTCCCATAGATTGCAGTGAGATTAAATATATTGCAAATGGAGACTCTTAAGTCTCCTGCATCTCAGACCCTGGTAATCACACATGACATCTGTAGAGTTCCTGAAATTACATTGACAGTGTTTCAAACTGTGCAATCAAAAGTCAGATTTCAAAATGAACATTTCTTATAACAGTCTTCCAAGGCGAATGTAATAATACTATACAATCCACATTTCATTTTATAGACTTGACATCTCAATGAAATCTCCGGAGCTAGAAGAGCAACCTCCGAGCAATACAGATTTCCTCAGAGTACACATATGCTGTGGTCCATAAGGGACCTAAAGTTGAATATCTCTATTGTTCTTGCTCTTTTTCTCTCTTTGAATCTCTATTTTTGTTTCCTTCTCTTTTTTTCATTCTTTTTGCCTCTCTCACCATAATTCTCATGACTCCTCATTACGGAGCTATGGTATCCGTCCCATGCGCGACACAGTCTCATTTGTCCCCGCCATGTGGTCTTCTGTTGTCAAAGTTATCAAGGATGCGTCTCTTGCTGTGGCTTGCTGATTGCTCTGGTCCCTCGGCCTTCAGAGCAGCCGACAGGCCTTCAACAACAGTTCTAATATTAGATATTTATCACAAATTGAAGCCAAGGACAACAGTAAACAAGAGCAAACAGGAGTAATTAATGTCAGATCAGTTCAAGAGCCTAAAGGTGGTGTAATCATTCCTATTGCTTATACTTGGAGTTAAACCGCAGTTTCACCGGAGAGAAAATCCAGTGCCAAAAACTATTTAATTTGAATCAATTGATATTAATAAATCTGTTCGGACCAACACAAATGTTTGCATGCCATCAATGGGACCGTTTTAGCTCTAAATTTCGAGATTCTATTGCACTGGAAAGAAAACTGGCCAACCAGTAAGAGTTGCGTTTTAGGTCACATGCCCAGAACAACTGCTGTTACATAAAACATGTAAACACTGGTTGACTTCTTTCTTCTCTGTGACAAGCTAGTGTCAGAAATGGAAAATCGCGCAGTGATTGCATTTTCATCATCACATTTTTATGATGAACACCTGGGTGTAAACAGGTCTTAATCATTATTTGGGCGGATGATAAAATGGCCGACAAACCTAATAGACTTACATTTGAATTAGAAACTCGAGCCATATGTTGAGAACAGAATATCATAAAGTCTTGAAGGTGGAGGCTTTTGATTTGAAACAATAAGCATCCACCCAGCAGTCTCCGTGTTCTCCGTGTGTGACATTGATAAAAGTCTTTAAAGCATGAAGAAATATGGACACTTTGTCAAATTTATGGCTGGATAGACTTAAAGATGGAATTATATGTGACAGTTTTGAAGGGAAGTGCAGGGTCTGGACTGCAGGTACTGAACTCAGATCACCCGTAGTGTCAAAAATGCTTTACATGAGTGACAGAGTCACAGCGAGAGATAGATTGTAGAGACTTTCTTGACCGATATGAAGCGAAAAAGCCATCTCGTGTATAATTGTATCTGTTAACGTAAATACAAATGGCAAAGACTTCATTATTTTTAGGGTATTCTACACATATACACTCCTGTCTATAGCCACCACAGGCTTTTGAGAGACCTGTTTGTGCCCTAGGCTTAGAAATGGAGACTGGAAGCCATCAAACACCCTACCGAAGTCTTGATAGGCTTGGGTGTACCAGGGGATGGCCAATCTTCCAGCCTTTTCCTCTCACATCAAGAGACTTGTGCCTTTAAAATTCGTTCAAAAACATTCTCTGCGGCACAGTCTAGTTACCGCCCTCTCTCCTTCTTTTCTCCCCCCTTCCCTCCGTTCAGCTTCCCGTCTGTTGCATCCTCTGCGATGATTGACTCTCTTGAGGAAGGGGAAGGCTGTGTCCGGGCTCACATTTCCAGCCCTTTGTCCGGCACAAAAGCATCTTTGTCGAGAGAGCTCAACCACAGGCGCACCAGTGACTCGCGGGGATCCTTAGAGAGGGAATATTTTTCACTCCTTTTTCATGTTTAATTCAGGTTGCGTCTGATTTTAGCTGCACAGAATTGTGTGTGGATTCGCCTCAGTACGTTTATCACGTCAGTAAATTTACTGCATGTCGTCATTTAAGTTCACAATGGGCAAATGTGTCCCCACCGCTTTATGGAATAATATATCTAATATAGAGGAAATTGTTCCAATTCTCAAAAATTCTCTCTTTTTTTTTCATGTGTGTTATAGCAAGTGATGTTCTAGCACAAATTAGTTTGTTTCACTGCTTTTCTGTGCCTCCGTTGCAGTTTTTAATCAGTCTCAGAAAGTGATTCATGCTTAGCATTTGGTAGTTGATCCATGTGTTTATCCACTAAGCTACAGAATCCCGGGACAGACAGCGGCAGATGTAGCAATGAAGTTATCAAATAAAAAGTCCACTTGAGGATTTTAATCGGTCATCAAGATTGATTGCAAATCACTCTGTAAAGAGTTTTATGTTGAAAAAATAACTTGCTGTCAAAAGTGTTACATAATTTTTTTAAACTTACTAATGTCATTGTTTGCGTGTCAGTTTAGACTTGGAGTACTTAATCTATTACAGACCTGATCTGTGTATCCATATATTATATAGACCCTTTATGCATATTTATGAAGAACCTAATTAATATTCATGAGTTTTAAGTCTGTGATGCCTTGATCACTTAAGACAGTCATCTAAATGCTTCTAGATTGCAGTCAGTGTGAACAGACGATGTCTACCAAGAATCAAGCACCACTTCTTCACACCAGGAGTCTGTCTAATATATCCGCAATCCTTTTATATATACTCCTGCTTAAGTCTGAAATCTTGTAATTGACATGTCGACATTCCTCGCATTTAAATTATCACGTTTCACTGAAGGAGGGTGTTAGATGGAATTTCCATTAGCCGTGTCACTGGATGTGTCATGCACTCTTGTTGGTTTTTGCAGTGGTCAGTGTTATTGCCGTGTCACAAAAGCAGCTACAGTAATTACAGAGAGTTCCTCATTAGGCTGAAGTAAATTCGTCAAGTGGCTCCACTTGAGTTCACTTCACCTTAGACCTGCTGGCTAACAGAAAATGTCGCACTTTGTTTACTCATATTTATGGAAAAAGTCATGCTTTTTTTATACCTGTACTTGATTAGATTTTTTTTTTTAAACGATCACTTTTTATTGGCTACCATACGTACACTTTGTAAAAAAATGTAAAAAAAAATCTGTTATAATATTAATCGAGCTTAAAGGTGATTTTTGTGTCACTATTTTTGCATAATTAAAATTGCAAACATTTTGACATTTCCCTGAACACACCCCTCTCTGCCATCGGTCAGGCAAATATATAGCTCTGCCTAAAACTCACCACATTGGTTGAACCAATATTTCTACGTTGGACTGATCAGGATGATCAAACAAAATGTGTTTTGAAAGTGTTTTTCGTATATTTTAGCATATGAAAAAAAATCACCTCCAAAAGACCTCCATGTTAGCAACCTAAAATCTAAATAAGTAACAACACTTTAAAGGATTAGTTCACTTTTAAAAAAACTTTTGCTGATAATTTACTCACCCCCATGTCATCCAAGATGTCCATGTCTTTCTTTCTTCAGTCGAAAAGAAATTAAGGTTTTTGATGAAAACATTCCAGGATTTTTCTCCATATAATGCACTTTGCTGGGCACCAAACGGTTCAAGGTCCAAAAGACAGTTTCAGTGCAAACTGCAAACTGTTCAAATGTCTTTAAACAACACCAGACGATGAATAAGGGTCTTATCAAGCGAAACGATCGCTCATTTAAAAAAGAAATAACAAAGTTTAAGTTTTATAAGCTCAAATGCTCGCCTTGCTCTGTTCTGTGTGACTCTCCTGTTCGAACTCGTTCATCAAAATGAACAAATCTTTTTCCGAGTCAATTCGTTCATTTCGTTCGTTAAATGAACCAAATGACTCGAAAAAAGATTTGTTCCTTTTGATGAACGAGTTCGAACAGGAGAGTCACGAGCGTGCATCACAGAACAGAGCAAGGTGAGCATTTGACATTATTAAACTTAAACTTTGTTATTTCTTTTTTAAATGAGCGATCGTTTCGCTTGATAAGACCCTTATTCATCGTCTGGAATCGTTTAAAGCCCTTTGAACAGTTTGCAGTTTGCACTGAAACTGTCTTTTGGACCTTGAACCGTTTGGTGCCCAGTAAAGTGCATTATATGGAGAAAAATCCTGGAATGTTTTCAGCAAAAACCTTAATTTCTTTTCGACTGAAGAAAGAAAGACATGGACATCTTGGATGACATGGGGGTGAGTAAATTATCAGCAAAAAATTTTTTTTAAAGTGAACTAATCCTTTAATATCAGTTCTGTCTTTGAGCTGATAGAGTTTTGAGTTCTGAAAGTTACAGTATGTTTTAATAGTGAACTATAAATAGTGAATCGTTTTTCCTCCCTCATATGACCCCTTTAAAATTGAAACGGAACCTAGACTACAACAGGAAATTAAGCTTTTTGAACCACATTCTTTAGGGAAAGAGAATAAACTGAATCCAGCAGGTGAAGCACTGATGAATGTGTGCGTCATTCTGACAAACATTGATGACATTCTCTTGCAGACTCTATCGATGACTGTCCTAGTAACTGTTTTGGAAATGGAGACTGTGTGGCTGGAAACTGCCACTGTTTTCCTGGCTTTAGAGGACCCGACTGCAGCAGAGGTGAGATTTCTGTTTACCTCCTCCTCCATTAGCCTACTTTTCTCTCTTTATTACTTTCAGTCCTTCATCCCTGCAGTCATTTCTGCTTCACTTTCTCTGTCACTCATGCATTTTCTGTTTCTTACAAATATAATCATGGTAGCCATGTTTTTCAGCAATACAAGCAACTGTCATGAAATAAATGGTTGTGCTAACAATCAAATAAAATTATTTGCGTGTGTGTTTATGTATGTATGTATGCTGTCAAGCGATTGAAATTTGTAATCTAATTAATTACACGATGTGGCGATTAATTAATCGCATTAATCGCTAATCAAATTTAGCTGAGAAATGACCCCCAAAAGATCATTTAAAGTCATTATTGTGTTAAATAAGAAAAGCATCAAATAGACATTACAAAAAGTAGCTTCAGAATTTTTGATTCAACATAGAATTTATAATAAACTTTTAGGCCTTAACGGACTGGGTGGGTAAATGATGACAGAATTTATATTTTGGGGTAAACTATACCTTTAATAGCTTTTTTATTAATATGGAGAAATGAAATATTTTTGTTGTAATTAAATGGTACTCTAAATAAGAAACTAAATCTGCCAGTAGGTGGCTGTGAATGTCTAAATGAGTAAGTCATTGAATCATTGGTTTGCCCGATTGATTCGCTCAAAACGTGCATTCATTTAGAAATGAAACACCGTTGTGTGTTGCTCTGAGATTATAAAATCAATGCTTCATGTTCCTCATCAATCAACTGTACACAATGTAAGATGACCTACGTAGCTCTGCGTTAAATGGGTTGATAATTGTAGCACGTAATTTTGTTTCCATAAATTGTTACGTGGTAAATTGAATTAAAAGTGCTTCATATGTAAAGACAGTAAGATACTATATATAAATCTTGAAAGGTGTGTATATATATATCACTTGAAATGTATGCATTAGGGTTCATGAGAACAAAAAGTATAGTCACGTTGTAACTGTGGTATTTTGCCAGACATCAAATAAAAAAAAATGTGGTTCTCTTGTGCCCCGTCACTTCAACATTGATTTTTCATACATGAATTCTGTTCTCTCACTGCTGTTTGCATGTTTCTTGTGTATTCTAGTCTCTGGTCATTCGCTATTCAGAAATCCCTTGTTTATACATAAAACTTCTGGATCGATGTGGTTTCACGTACTTTTACTACTGTAGCTTTTGCTGCAGTGCCCATATTGATTTTCACACAGGCATGAGTTGAGTCCAGCAGGCCAGCCCAAGCTACATTTGGCAGCTCTTTGACATGTTGTGTATGTGTGTATTCTTTCCAGCGTCCTGTCCGGTGCTTTGCAGTGGGAACGGTCAGTACCTCAAAGGCCGCTGCATGTGTCACAGCGGTTGGAAAGGATCCGAATGTGATGTTCCTACTAACCAGTGCATCGACATTACCTGCAGCGGACATGGCACATGCATTGTGGGAACTTGCATCTGTAATCCAGGCTACAAAGGGGAGAACTGCGAAGAAGGTACTAGAGTGTATAAAAAAATTAATACAAAATTTGTTTTGATAGTATTCTCTAAAAATTTCAAGAGAAAAAAAACTTAATATATACTACTGGTCAAAATTTAGATTTTTTTTTTTTTTTTTTTATGTTTTTGAAAGAAGTTTGCATTATTAACAAAAAAATTATTAAAAAAAGTCCAGTCTTCAGTGTCACGTGATCCTTCAGAAATCTGATTTGATGCTCTAAAAACATTTCTTATCATCAATGTTGAAAACAGTTGTTGCTGCTGGATATTGATACACTACCATTCAAAAGTTTGGGTTAAGTAAGGTTTTAAAAAATGATTGTTTTTAAATAAATCAGTAAGGATGCATTAAGTTGATCAAAAGTGGCATAAAGACATATTATAATGTTACAAAAGGTTTCTATTTCAAATACATGCTGTTCTTTTGAATATTAAGCAGCACAACTGTTTTCAATATTGATAGTAATAATAAATGTTTCTTGGGCACTAAATCAGCATATTAGATGATTTCTGAAAGATCATGTGACACTGAAGACTGGAGTAATGATGCTGAAGATTCAGCTTGGATCACAGGGATAAATTACATTTTAAATACATTACAATAGAAAACTTCCAAGCTTTTGTCCAGTAGTGTATGTGTAATATCACCTGCCTCGCACCATTATACAATCTGCAATACATTATACAATGTCTGAGCTGTTTTAGTGTTGCCGTTGCCCCTTGTTTTTATACATCAAATTTATATGCACCAAATCACACAGAAATGAAGAAAGAGGCCCGTCTTGGCCTTTTTTAGTATGCATACGTACCCTTCTGAATATTTAAGATGGGCGTACATGACCTTCGAGTCTTCGAGCAGGCCCATAAGTATCCGACTCGTCTCGCTACGCCTAGGAAGTCTCCTCGCTCCTTCACATGCATTATGGATACTACTGAGGGTCCAAAGCAATCCATTAAGAGAAGAACAATTCATTTGGGTCAAGATCCAATAAGTCAAATTTGCACCGAGAAGCCTGAACTGAGACTACATCCGCCCGACGACAGGGGCGACCGAGCTGTGAAGAGATAAGATTAAGGTAGCCATTGTGTTTGGCAGTTTTTGAAGGCTCTCATTTGAAGATGAAAAATGATGTGGGCGATTTTGACAAATGGTATGTTCTGACTCTTCTGACCCCCGGCAATTCTATTTCGGGTCTCACCGTTGGCCGTTGAGGAAGAGAATGCCGACGCTGGCCCTTTAACGGTTCTACCTTTCTTCGCCGCGACCTTCAGGCGGTGATGATTAATTGCCAGGAGAGAAGCTCTTGTCATTTAGCCTATGATCTCTGTGCCTTGTGCCCAAACCATCTGCTAAGAGACCCGAACTCCTGCTCATCTATAGGAACGGCCTCTCCACCCATTTGTGTCATGGTAAAGGGAGTCGGCAATGTGGCGACCCCATCCCTCCTTTCCCATCATGTCCCAGCTGGCCTCATGTTAGCCATCTGTGAGGGCACATTCTGGTTTCACACCTTCATTTTCGCATAGTTACTGTATACACTACCGTACAAAAGTTTTGGAGGCGGAACGATTTCTTTCCCAATGAAATTAATACAAAAGTGTCAGTAAAGACTTTTACGAAAGTCTATTTTAAATAAATGCTGTTCTTTTGAACTTTTTATTCATCAAAGTATCAAAACAAAATATTAAGCTCAAACTGTTTTCAACATTGATTATAATAATTAATGTTTCTTGAGCAGCAAATCAGCATATTAGAATGATTTCTGAAGGATCATGTGACACTGAAGACTGGAGTGATGATGCTGAAAATTCAGCTTTGCATCACAGGAATAAATGACATTTTTAAATATTTAAAACATTGAAAACAGTTATTTTAAAATTGTAATATATCACAATATTACTGTTTCTACTTATTTAAAAAAATTTTTTTATAATAATCAGTTTATGAGTTGGAATTTGAACAGGCCAGACCCACAAAAAATATGAATTGTAATGACAAGACAAATTTACTGAATAGTAATTTAAAGAAATATCAAAGAAATGCATTTTGAAAAATTGTGTTTGTCCACAATTATTAAATATGATAAAATAAACTAACTTTATGTATTAATTTGTTCATTCTTTCTTTTCTAGTCTTCTAGCAATCGATCATTTGTTTGTTCGTTTTAGACTTTCATAGATCGTTTTTTTCTAGCATTCTATTGTTTATTTGTTTTAGCATTCTGTTGTTCACTATATCATTCTATTGTTTGTTTGTTTTGGCATTCTGTTGTTTGTTCTAGCATATTGTTTGTTTGTTCTAGCATTCTATTGTTTTGTTTTAGCATTCTGTTGTTCGTTCTAGCATTCTATTGTTTGTTTATTTTAGCATTCTATCTTTCATTTTAGCAATCCATTGATTGTTTGTTTTAACATTTTTATTGTTTATTTATTCTAGCATTTAATCATTTGTTTGTTTTAGCATTTTATTATATATTCATTCGTTTTAGCATACTATCGTTCTAACAACATTTTTTTAACTAGTTTTCTAGTTAAGAATGACATTAATTCTTTCGAATTTCAATTTATTAAAATTTTTACTTTGTTAAGTTCAAATTCAAATTGCTGTTGTGCATTCTACTTGCTACCTTAAGTCAAATTCAGGAATTGAAATGACAAAAGCATTCTCAGTTCAGTTCTAAATAGTGTGCCATTTTTTTTCCCATTGAATGGGAAATGGGTTGCAAAAACTGCCAAAGTGTTTACTTTATTTTAAGAACATCCGTCTTGAGAATGTTTGTTGGGCGTAACTGATCCCAGTTCATTTTTCAACAAGGATTAGAAATGAATTAAGAGTAACATGGGTACAGGAAGCTGAGTTTTTTGCCCATGGGCCATTGTAGGTGTCCTTGTTTGCATTCTGTCACGCTTGGTTTTGGGTTCACAGTAAGTGGGGGGGACCACATCCAGCATCGCTTTTCAATTTAGCAGAGCATGCTCCGACCGCGCCAGTCTTTTCCCTTCCCGGCGCTAGGAGGAAATCTCATTACCAGCAGCTAGAGAAGTCAAAGAGAGAGAGAGAGAGAGAGAGCAACACTCTTCCCACCTGCCAGTTTACTGCACGACAGCGAATGCTGCCATTTAATTTGACCATTTGTAAATCCTGTTGCTCTCAGGGTTTTTAGAAGTGTCAGGCCTCCTCAGACGCAGCTGGGCATGCGGCGCGCTCTCTGCTACAAGAGCTAAACCTCTAGAGTCCTTCTTTTTTGGTCTATAGGATGGATGACTAAGGCCTGAGTCACACAATGAAAGGAAGATGAACAGCAGGGGACACTGAGCTATGACAGTTTGATGTGAATACATGCAAGTTTGATACAGTGCGCTTGTCTTTGATGATGAGTTTGGTCTGATGGGAAATAGGTCTGATGGGAAATGGCTCTTCTGATGTATTTTTACTTTGGATTTCTGCTTTGGATTAGCTATGTGGAAAATGAGTTCATGAATACCTGTGCTGTGTGTTCTGTGTGTTTGTGTGCAGTGGACTGCCTGGACCCGACCTGCTCAGGGAGAGGTGTCTGTGTACGTGGAGAGTGCCACTGTTTTGTAGGTTGGGGGGGTCCTGGATGCGAAAGTCCACGTGCTTCATGTATGGAGCAGTGCTCTGGACACGGGACCTTCTTGGCTGACACCAACACTTGTAACTGTGACCCCAACTGGACCGGTCACGACTGCTCCACAGGTCAGTACAGTGGCGGAATGATGAAATGTCCTATGCTGTTATGTTCACTTCCCTATTTCAGCCGTGTCACTTTGTATTTAATTATTTAGCTTATTATTGTTTTAACTTAATGAACAGCAGGAAGAACTATTTAGTTATTTTCATGTGTGCGCACCAATCAGTGTTGTTTTGATATTTGCATATGCAATGATAGTATGTATTAATATTTATATAATTTTTATATTTTCATTTTTTTCAACTATTTATTTATTTTTCAATTTTATTTTATTTAACCATGTGTGCATGGTTGCCAGATTGAAAGTAGTAAACGGTTACCAGATTGAAAGTAGTAAACGGTTAACGGTTGCCAGATTGAAAGTAGTAAACAGTTGCCAGATTGAAAGTAGTAAACGGTTACCAGATTGAAAGTAGTAAACGGTTAACGGTTGCCAGATTGAAAGTAGTAAACGGTTGCCAGATTGAAAGTATTACCAGATAGGCTTTATGCCGAGCGTCACATGACCAAGCCGGAAAACAGATCACATCGCTTCCGATTCAGGTCTTTTTTATGTGCTTCATGAATTTTTTTGCGGTTTTACTCAATATAACTTAAAAGGAGCAAGCAAAAATGAGCATAACCAATGTCCCTCGCATGTGCAGATTGATATTTAAAAGTTTTTTAATTTTTTTTCTTCACACTAACGTTTAGATATTTAAATAGCATAAAACACCAATAACAAAGTGAACTTAGTAGGTTAGCTGATTACCTTAAAAATCCATAGATATCGTAGTTAGTTCTTACGGCCGTTAACACTTTCTCTGACAAGCGGATGCAATGAGACCCGTTTTCCGGTTTGGTCACGTGACGCTTGGTCACGTGAAAGCCTTCAATAGGCTTTATGCTTCAATAGGCATAAAGCCTATTGAAAGTAGTAAACGGTTACCAGATTGAAAGTAGTAAACGGTTGCCAGATTGAAAGTAGTAAACGGTTGCCAGATTGAAAGTAGTAAACGGTTGCCAGATTGAAAGTAGTAAACGGTTACCAGATTGAAGTAAAACATGGGCAGAAAATGTGTTCTTTTAACAGAAAAGCTCTGATTTGGGGGATTTTAACTCTTGCAACCGTTCTGGCAAGATCTGGCAAACGCAAGCATGAAAGCTTGTAGAAGAGACTTGTGCTGCAGTCTTTAAAGTAGCTGTCTGTAAAATGTTTTTTTTTTTCAACAAAAATAAAGGGAGATTATGGTTAAGGTTTCATTTTTAACTAGATTTTAGTCCCGAGTTTTATCGTTTAATGACCTTGGTGTCTCGTCGACGAATTTTTTCATCATAGTTTTCGATAACAAAATATACTGAAGTAAATCTGAAACACTATTAAAACATCTGTCTTAACGCTCTCATACTCGTAAGTCGCAAGACCAATAAGAATTACTAGCCATACTACAGTCAAATAAACGAGATCATCACAAATGTGATATTCTGTAAAAAATACATATATATACATATATATTCTGCTTGGCCTTTGATTTAATAATCATTTAAGTATCTCATACAAATACCTGCCTGATCTGATCATATCAATTGTGTGTGTCTGTATTGTGTGGGGACAGTGTTAGCGTCACACTAATCTGAAGGGCACACCGTACACCTGTGTTTGTGAATTTATCTCTTTGTGAGCGGTTCATCTCATATTTCTGCGTGCCTGAGCACAAACTGATTTCTGTTAAAATCTCCTAAACCCTCTAAATGGAACTTGATGCAGCTTATCGTTGCTAATCTTCACGCCACCTGTTGCCATGACAGCGGTGACTACAGGTGTCAGGGTGTAATTTCATGCTTCACATAATTTACCTCACTGTTCTCGGCTCGTGTGATTGAGAAAATTCAGAGAAAACAATATATGCAAAGTGCTTGGGTAAACGCTCAGTCTATTGGCCATAATAGAACGTTTAAATTAGAAACACTTCAAAGACATTTTTTCCTTCTGAATTAATCAGCCATTTCGAAACTCGGTTGATAAAGTTAGCACTGTTTCATTTCCTTTCTTTTATCCCTTCAAGAATAGGCAGTTTGGTCAAATTCTCCATGGTTTCAAAACACTTAAGTCCCCTCTTCTCGACCCCTCTCCCGGTCATGCCTGACCACCTTTTCACAGAGATTTTTCCACATTTGAGCTGTTTCAGTCACGCTAGTTAGACCTCCATCAGCAGGCGGGGGTGAAACAGCAGCGTCTGATACAGCTAAAGCGGTTTAGCACCTCATGGCGGAGGACGAGAGCCAGGTTCTCATAGTGACCTGTGGAAAGTGTGCTTTGATTTCCCCTCAAGCTGGTACACTGATGTCTTCTTACATCACACTGGACAGGAGTCTCACACCTACGGTTTTGGTTTTGTTAATGTGAAAGACAATCTTTAAAATCCTGACTGCAGTACATTTTGAATCCAGGAGAAGCACCTAAATTTTGAACTCACAGAAGTAATAATACACATGTGCATTTTATATTATCAGCAAACAATCTGTATCGGACGGGGATGCTTTTTAAACAGCATTTTAGGACTGCTTTACTTACCACACCAACTCATCAATTATTAAAAAAAGAAAAGAAAAAGTTGTCTGCAAACCTTAGTTCAAGGATTTAAAGGGATAGTTCACTTTGAAATTAATTTTTGGTATGTTTTTGGTAGGTGTCTTTGTTTCTGGCGCTGTAGTTTCAATTTTGATATTTTTAGGTCAAACCGTTCTTGTCTGTCAGTCATATAATGCAGGTCTATGGTCACCACCTCAAAGAGCATGCACAGAGAAGTCCAAATTAAACATGATTTAATGACTCGTAAATGTAAGTACACATTGATGGCCTAAGACACGAAACGAGCGGTTTGTGTGAGAAAACGAACAGTATTTATATCGTTTTTACCTCTTGTAAACACAGCCACATCCAAGTGATCTGAGGGCGCCGGCGCTTCGGTCTTTTCCGGCAACGATATAAACGATATAAATACTGTTCGTTTTCTCACACAAACCGCTCGTTTCGTGTCTTAGGCCATCAATGTGTACTTACATTTACGAGTCATTAAATCATGTTTAATTTGGACTTCTCTGTGCATGCTCTTTGAGGTGGTGACCATAGACCTGCATTATATGACTGATAGACAAGGACGGTTTGACCTAAAAATATCAAAATTAAAACTACTGCGGAAACAAAGACACCTACATCTTGGATGCCCTTGAGGTAAGCTAAAACATACCAAAAATGTATTTCAAAGTGAACTATCCCTTTAAGCAGGATTTATTAGGATCATATACCAATAAACTTTGTAATTGTAAATCAATACGGTACATAATTGTCACAGATTATTTAACATTTAGAGTCAGTGGCGCGTTGCGCGTTGTTCATTATGCTATTTTAAGGGCGCATGCTTGGCCATAATCAATGTAGCGTGTGCACAACGCGCATACACGTTGATTCTCTCATCTAAGCAGCAGTTTTCATTTTTGCAAATCATACATTATTACAATAGATAGATAGATAGATAGATAGATAGATAGATAGATAGATAGATAGATAGATAGATAGATAGATAGATAGATAGATAGATAGATAGATAGATAGATAGATAGATAGACAATTTATTATAAAAGCATACATGTTACACATTTACCCAAATTATCATACGCCTGTTTAACAGAAGTTAATTTGGGTGGGTTTCTCCATCCCCAATGTCACTTCTCTGTTTTACGGCCCTGACGAGAACGTTGCTCTCCTCGGCTGTGAACCGCTCCTGGCGCGCGCCTGGCAAATCCGCCGTTATAATAGGAATCCGCTTTAGAACAAGCGCGCCTGCTCTTAAAGGGAATGTGAGATGACGCTCTGATTGGTTTATTTCACGTTACGCCCAAAACACCTATGAATAATGAAGCTACTTCAGACCAACCCCTTTTAGATTTGCGCCAGGCGCAAGAGGCATTTATCCCGCCGGTAAAATAGCAACAGCGCCGGGATCCGCCCACAAAGTTACTTGCGCTTTGCGCTTTGACACTTGCGTTTCAGATCGTTAAAATAGGGCCCTTGATTTGTTTCCTTATCGGAGTCTTTTTCTGTAACGCAGGGCAGAAAGCCAAATACTGTTTTGCCACACCTGTTTCGAAACAGGGACATTTATTATTAATATCATTTAAAGTGCTCAAAAGCAGTGATGCGATGTTGTTATTTTGGTCACTGCTATTGCAAACACCACAAGGCTTTGAGAGATCAGAGAATTAAGGGAATTTTACTTCAGCAAACTTTTGAAACACAACTATGTGAATATGAATTTCACTTGAATGCCAAGCAGACAGACTGACCTATTATGTAATCCGAGGGATTTGCTGGAAATAGCCATTTAAAGCCTGGCTTCTCAAGCGAAAGATGCAGCATAACTAAATTATTAAGAGACTTGTACTCTCCTGTGCCGGCCTGTGCAAATTGTGAGCTTTTGTATATCATTTAATAAAATAAAAAAAGAAAATAAAAAAAAGTAAAAATTAACAATTTTTTTATTGTTAATTTAAATATAAAATAAAATAAAAAAGCAAAGTTCCGGTATATTTACCCCCTTGGCAAACATCTGTGAAACCATTAGCGGCAAATTGTTTTGTTTGCTGCACATTTGATTACATTAATTGCAATGGTAATGGTTATAACATAAATGTCGGGGATAAAATAAATGTTATGCCACAAAACTAAACGAAGATACGGCCACTCCTAAAATCTGAAAATCACTTCCTCCCTCTCTGTCACTCCTGCTTTTTCCCCCTTTTTTTGTCTCTGTTCTCTTGGTCACTTCTGGTAATTGAATAAGAAAGCTTTCAGCTCTAGTATGTTTGCAGGCTGGCAGCTCCCAACACATTCTGAAATGAGCTGTTGCAAACAATCAAGATCTGCATCAATTAGTTCTCCTCCTCTATTAAAGGACGCAAGCAGGAGTTACCCAATTATTGTACAACGTTCAGCGCGTCTTTGCCCTGCAGTGAAGCATTGTGGGAACGATTCACAGATGGTATCATCCTGCCACTTGGCTGCTGTGTTACCTTTATGAGAATCGCTTTGAGGAACACCTTTATGAGAAAACGATATTAGCATTATCATGCGAGATGTGAATGCGGGAGGCAAACTACTAGGCGGATTGAAAGAGGGACACTAAAGGAGAGTGAGCAACTGTGTGTCTCCTTGACAACTTTAAGCAATGAAATGCCATTAGGATGCCTCTAATTGAAATGTTGCATGTGAAATTAAGGGCATTTACATAATTTAACAAAGGCCCAGTGTTGTAATTAGCATGAGGGAAGGTTTTTTTTTGCCTTAAAGCTTTTAAATCTGGTAATGCCATGTTATGGTTTGTGCCTGAAAAGACTAACTTAACTCTGTTTTATTTGTAACAATGACATAATGCAGAGTTACATTAACATAATTGACTCATTATTGGCCTATAAGCGACCTTCTTTCTGGCTCCCTTCTGCATAGATTTGGATAATTAGACAACATTACATAACCACTGTTCTACACTTTGAAGAGGGCTCTCATTTGCATAGCATGAAAATATTTGTTCTTTTTTTTATTATTTGTTTATTGTATTCACCTTTTAAAATCGTGTGTGTGTGTGTGGCCTGGTAAGTCCTACATTATGGGGACATATTGCCCCGTACAAAGATGGCAATATCTGAAGTCTTAGACCTTGTGGGGAAATTCTTTTGGTCCCCATGAGAAAAACAGCTTATAAATGACACAAAATGAGTAATTTTTTTGAAAATGTAAAAGTGTGTGTGTGTCCGCTATTCTACAGATTTTCTAATTGTTTGTGGTTACAATTAATACAAATCTACAAAAAAAATGTATATAGGTCCTGTAACTGATCAGTTTTTATTATTAATTGTCTTTTTGCCTTCTAGTCCATTTTATATTGATCTGTGGTATGACCATTTTTTTGGAAGTACAAAAATTCCATGTAATCTTTCAGTTCTAATGAGATCATGAAAACTACGTAGATGATAATAATTATGAAAATAAAAAGTAAAATATTGTTTCAAATAGTTTTAGATGAAGTATAGCTGGGCATGTCAAAAGTATTCCATGTTGTTAACTACCCCTTCACTTGATGTTTTGTGCTTTATACCACATCTTTATCCTTTTTATGTTTCCGGAACTTTTTCATTATGTCAAGATTTTTAAACTCACTAGACATGTGAAGCCAAACCTTCCCAGAACCCTCAGAGGCAGAGACCATTTTATTTGTGAAATCTCAAGTGTTAGATTTAATTTGCGAATTAACTCTCAATTATTGTCTCTCACAGATCTTTCTTTTATAGAAAACCTATTTTTGCCACGCTGCCTCAGCTTTCACCTCATTACTTATGCAGCGAAACGACTTCAATGATCCAGCGTGTGTCTCCATTTCTAAAGGAAGTCCAAATTGGATTTTGTTCCTTTGACTTTTCTTTCTTCTTTCTCCCAAACAAAAGAAGGAATCCCCCCCCCCCCCCCCCCCCCCCCCCCAAAAAAAAAGTAGGAATCCAAAAAGGAAGAGACACAGCAGAAAATCTGCCCTGTTAAACCTCCCACAAATCCTCGAACCCCTGCTTTGTAATGGTCTTATTAGATTTGTATTGTCCAAAAGGGATTGCCCCCTTTATGAGGTGTAGGAATTTCTTTTCACTACCCATCAGACAAGGTAGCGGAGCGTGGCCGTCCCATCACTGACAATAACTCCTGGATTTGGTTTCTCTTTACCCCCTGTCCCAACTCCTCTTGGCTAACACCCCTTCTCCCCCTGTCCCGCAGAGCTGTGCGCAGCGGACTGTGGTGGACATGGCATCTGTGTGGCGGGAAGCTGTCGCTGCGACGAGGGCTGGATGGGCGCCGGGTGCGAACAACGGGCTTGTCACCCGCGCTGCAGCGAACACGGGACCTGCAAGGACGGGAAGTGTGAATGCAGCCCGGGATGGAACGGAGAACACTGCACCATCGGTAAGGAGCGCGGGATGAGGGTGGAGTCGTGGCGGGGGGGAAGGTGTGAGAGAAAGCATGCGTAATTGAATTTGTGCAACCCGGCATAGCATGAACAGGTTTGCTCAAGGATATGAAGCTCGTCTTCATGCATTTTAATGTGGGAATGTGCTACGGTGTCTTTTCATTATTTTCTACTCATCATTTCCCTCCTTTCTTATTCTCTTTCTCGTTCCATTCGATTAGTTCATTTTGAACCCAAACATTTGCATTGCACGAGCTGGGCAGTCACTGGAAAGGCGTTCTTTACGTTGGGGAATTAAATCGCAAAGCAATTTAGCGAATAAAAATATTTTTTGATTTAAAAATATTCATTATTTTTGTAATTCCTTTTGGTAAAGTTATACGTTGCGTGTTTCAACTTTAATTTAGTTTTATTTGAACCAAAATATACCAATATATTTCTGATTTTTTAGTTTACTAACAATATAAAAACTTTAAATTGCAAATATTTCATGATGAACACTTTCTGGAATGAAGCAAATTGGCTTTACCTGATTATCCTTACATCATTTTTTTTATTTTTTTTTTATCATGTTAAAATGTGATTTTCAAATATGATACATCAGGCCTTTGAGGAACGTTTATCTGTTCATCTCTCAATCATCACATGTATTGTTCCCCACAATAAAAATCTTTGCAAATCTTTGATCATAAAACTATTAGATTTTATTATTGGGAGTATCTTAAGTCCCTCCTTTTCATTTAAGTCTGCTATACTGTTATAAAGATAACATTGATTTACATTACAAGCTTTTAGAATTTCATCTTACTTTTTGGCCATATAAATATCAGCAACTGCACCAAATGACATATTTCTGGTCAGTTTGGGTCTCTGAATAAAATTGAGATGTGTGTGAGCTGCATATTCTCGTATGTCATACTATATGTCATAGAAGCCTGATGTATCAAATAGTATTTTAAAAAGAGTATGTTATTGTCAAAGCATTTCAGCTTAGGAACCATGATGATCATAATTTATACTTTTAGATATAGATTTAGTCTAATATTGGTTTCACTGCACAATAGCACACAGCCCCATAAATGGAGAGAAGCCCCCCGTCCTTCAGTTCAGCCAGGTGTATTAGGTTGTTCCATGGTCAGATTTTAAGATAATAAAATTCCTAGCATGAAATATAGGAATACACATTAAATTGCTGTTGTTTCATTTGATCAGTTTTTTAACAAATATTGTAGTCAAGCTTATTATCCACTTAAGCTATTGTTAGTTATTTTCTTTAGATATTTATTTAAAAAACAAAAAAACAATCAATCCTTAAGTTAAATTCAAATTTAAGCAATGACCATTTGTTGAAGGAAAAGATACATATTTAAGTATTTAAACATATTTTAACCTACCTACCCCTTAAATCAAAGAGCAGTGATTGGTTGATAAGTGTTGCCCCTAACACCAACCATAACCCTAAAACCAGATGGTTGATTGAAATGTTGTTTCAAGGTAAATCACACTGTGTTCTTAATGGGCCAATAAAAAGTCTGTTCTGTGAGACTGCATTTACTAGTGTGTGTTTCAACATCACTGTCTCTCTCTGTTCTACTTTGTGTCTCTCACCCTAGCCTTATCTACTTCTCTGTTAAAGGAACCACATAGTCTGATCTGGTATTGTTTTTGTTTTTTTCTCTAGCTGTAACTTTTGATTTTGTCTCTGAGCTTATCAGTCAGTGACCAGAAAAAAGAAGACTCTACAGTAACAGCTTCTCACAAAAGCAAAGCAAAATAATCCATATTCTATTTTGATCTTATGAACTTCCTATTTCAGTAAAACAAGAAATCTTCTAATGCAGGGGTATTGTACTTTTTTTCTTTTTTTCCTTCCGTCCCGGGGGCAGTACACTAGCATTTTGTCTTTTAATATTTTCTTGGTGCATTATTGATGTTGTTCATACATGCACCATAGTGAAACATAGCATCCCAACAACAGCAGGGACCATACATTCTCGTAAAACGTGTGCCATTAAAGGTGGTAAGTGTGCCGGTCCATGATGTAATGTACAGAATGATCAACAGATGACGCATTGCTTCTCCACTGCTGGATTGTAGCCTGGCCATCTCATCAGTGACATGCTCTTTCTTTATAAGCTTTATACATCTTATACCTTAAACATGTACAAATTGTATTGAATTAGTAACTTATGAATTTTATTTATAAAATAAAATGGTAAAACCTTCCAAAAAGTATATTGAAATATAATGCATTATACAAATATTCATAATGCATTATCAACCTCCATTCATAAAGCTATGTAATATGCACTGTACACTCGTTTTTAAATTTTAACGACACATTTTGTTTTAAACTACTAACACTTTCCAAAAAGTCTGCATCCAATTCATTGTACAAATATTCATACTGCATTATCAACCTCCATTCATAGAGCCGTATAATATGCATGTCCAACAATGTCCAACATAAGGCATTATGAATAGCTTTAAAATGTGTTTTATATATATATATATATATACAGGCTTCATAGAAAGTGTTACCAAAAAAATCTTACTCCAGCAATACAGGTACTGATAAACTGAGACTTCTCTCTACATTTTTTCCCATCTCTCTCTCTCTTTCTCTACCCTGTCACACCATACCTTTAACTTTCTACCAGCCTGTGATGTGATGTTTTGCTTGTTGCATGTTATTGTCTTTGCAATCGCTTTTGCAGCCCCTCTCTGTTTCAGTAAACTTAGATGTCTCAAGCAACCAGCCCATGCCTCTAGCTGTCTGTGTCTTGTCATGAAGCAGCACTGTTCAAAACTTCCCTTATATGTCCTTGTCTTTTATCTCCCCCTAAAGCTCACTATCTGGATAAGGTAGTGAAAGGTATGGCACTCCTCCTGTCCTATCTTTTCTATCATTTTTCCACCAACCCATCCTTCAAAAAGCTCATCTTCAGGGTTGCACTCGTATTTTCAATCAGCCCATGCTTCATGCCTCACCAACACAGTCCTCGTCGAATCATGCTGCTGTTGTACCTCCACATCCAATACGCTGCTTTGCCACCTCGCCACTTAGCACCTTCACGCCCGCTGAGTGGGCGGCACGAGAGCCGGAGCGTCTCCTTAGCTGCCGTATCCCTGCTGTGGAACTCAGGGGGATGGATGGCCCACAGGATCCAAGGAGGGAGGGCTGGCGGAGGGTCACGGACCTTGCCAACCGGCGCCATGCATAATGGATGTTCAGTGCAGCTGTGTAGCACAGCAGAGGGGGTTCGAGAGGAGGGGTGTGGGGGTTCAGAGAGGTGCTGAAGCGGCAGCCTCTCTAATTAAAGCATGCTATGCACCGGTGCTGCCAGAGCCCTGAGCTGCCCACACCCCCTACCTGCTCGCTGTCTTTCCCTTTCTTGTCTCTGGTTTTCTTGCTCCGTGAGCCACACCCCTTCCCTCCCTTTCTCCCTCCATAGAGAGGCAGTGCGGCTAGCGTTAGCTGCAGGGGGTCGCGCAAGGCGGTTTTGTGGCCCTCCGGAGCTGTTTCAGCCTGATGCGCGGGTGCGCTCCACAGGGGCCTCTCTCTGAAAGGGCTGCCAATTAAGCTGAACTGCTGCCAGCAGAGCACAGATCTTTATTTGTTTAGCTCTTTAATAAGCATTCAGAACAGACCATTCTGACGTCTCGCCACTGTAGACTGTGCAGCTGTTTGTCTGTTTGGGTGTTTAAGGAGCAACCTGCTGTCTACTGGTCAAGCTCACCATTTGCTTGTTAACAAAGCATATAACTGTCTGCCTTGTAGCACAAAAAGATTGTCCTTACACCGAAGTGGGGTCAGCTGGAGACTGTAATTGTAGGTACAACCTTGTACCTACACAATCTCCTAAAAAAAAAGACAAGAAATGGGATTCAAAGATCTTGGTCGGGATGCCATCTGTAGTCTTAGTTAAAGTTTGTGACAAAGAGTAGACTGTTGAGTAGTACTCCGCTGTGAATTATCCAGCTTTAAGGATACATTACAAGCAGCTGCAAAGGGACACCCTACTGTACACAATGGGACACACTACTGCTTCTGGAGGTCCACCTTTCTGCAGAGTTTATCTTCAGCTTGATCCAGTACCAAATACCTGAAACTTATGAGCATCTGGTGTGTTTAACTTGAGTTATAACTAAACTCTAAAGCAAGGTGGTCCTCCAGGAGCATGCTTGGACAAGAACATGAGACTGCAAGTTACCAAGATTGCCATTTGAGATACATCCCCCGTGAGTACCATGACATCTGTGCAGCTATATTATAATATTAGGCAACATTACAGCCAATTCTTGATGGCTTCTCCATTTAGGTGCAGACTTAAAGTACATGCTACGGCAAGGATCAGCAATTATTTATTTTTTCTTGCTTTAGATGATACTAAATGTGCTACATATATCAGTTATTGAAGCACAGCTGTCTTGGAACATTGAGCACATGATGCACAAAGCCTGGATGAAAACACTGCATGCCATTATGCATTGAGCCATCTTTAGAAATGATCATGGCTTTTAGAGGCATCTCAGATTTCCCTTCTTATCAGGCATCCACCACCTTTCTTTCTCTATACAAACTCCCACTCTCACTCTCTCCCTTCTTTTAGTCTCTATGATATTCGAGCAGTGGCTGTGCTAACTGTCGCTGACAAAATAGGTCAGCTCAGACATCTTGGAGAGCGGCTCTTGGCTCGTAAAAAGCATGTCAGAATTTTACATTTCGATGGCGTAGGGTTCCTCGCCTTTCGTCTGTGTTTTCATCTTAGGAAATAGAATTGGACAGGTAGCTGATAAGGGGTAGGGAGGGGAAGAGGAAACAGATGACAATGACAGACTTTTTACGCTGTCGAATTGAGCATACTGTGTCTGTAGGACTGTGTGCCCACCTGTTCCATCAACATCCTGTCAGCATTAACCTCCCTGTTCAAGCGCAGCCCTGTGAAATCCTATTTCCAAATGTGTCATGACATTCTACATTATAGGTATAAAACAGAATATGGTTCTGTTTTTTACCTGGAGCTTGTGGTTTTCAAATTTAAGATTAGTCTACTATCTAAAAGCTAAGGTCGTTAGTGTTATTTCCCAAGAAATACTGTGATTATACATATTGCTGTTTATCTGGTTATGATAATGTTTTTTCTGGGTTAGATTTTGCTTCTACCTTTGTTGTCTCATTGTCTTGCTTCTCTTTCTTGCTCTCTCTTTTCCTCTCTCTTTCTCTTTAAAGCTGAGTTCTGCATCTATTGTACAACACTAATGAGAATGTATTGATCTGGCTGAGCTCTGCAGTATGAGTCTGCCTCTATAGGATATAAGGGCTTAAAACGGTGTATCAGTTAATCACCTGAAGTTATCACTGTTATTACTGAAGCACTCTTTTGACCCACAGCCCTTCATTTAAACTTTTTCATCTTGGATAGAGTAACTAGGCATTTGCAACGGTTTGTCTGTTATAGTGCAATATTTGTTTTAGTAAAAAGTGCCCTTTCTAATGTGTCTGCTTTGCTTTTGTGTGCACAGAGGGCTGTCCTGGTCTGTGCAATGGTAACGGCAGATGCACACTGGGTAATAATGGCTGGTACTGCGTTTGTCAGCTGGGCTGGCGGGGAGCAGGCTGCGACACATCAATGGAGACAGCCTGCAGTGACAGCAAGGACAATGACGGAGGTACAACACAAACAACATGTCTGCCTTGACATTCATTATGAAGATTTACTCTTCCCTTCCCTTCCCTTCCCTTCCCTTCCCTTCCCTTCCCTTCCCTTCCCTTCCCTTCCCTTCCCTTCCCTTCCCTTCCCTTCCCTTCCCTTCCCTTCCCTTCCCTTCTGTAGTTGTTTATTATGCCTGTGTAACTTAGGCCAGTAAGTACTATGCATGTAAACATCCCTCCCCTGGTCTCAAGAGGCACACTAGCGACTGACGCTAGAAGCTGTGGTCTTTTTAGCGGGCCCCCTCCCACGCCGAAGATGCAAGTTCGAATCCTGCTCGGAGCGGGTCAAGTAGGACCGGTTACATTTGGTGCCATTGACTCGGATGGGAGTGAGGTTTAGCGAGGGTGAGTGTAGCGTAGGCCAGTAAGAGCTGTGCATGTAAGCCTCACTCCCCTGGCCTCAAGAGGTGCGCTAGCGACTGACGCTGAAGGTTGCGGTCTTTATAGTCCTTGTTAGTGCGCCCGCCTCCCACGCCGAAGACCCCAATTCAAATCCGCTCGGAAAGGGTCGAGTAGGACCGGTTACACATGTACTGTTATCAGTATGTCACTGAAAACACTAAGATCTTGAGCACCTTTATTCAGCTAAAAGAATGTAGCTCTTTAAATAGCTCTGGAAGTTATCAGACCTTTCCTGTGGATGCATGAAGCTTTTGTATAAGAGTGAGTTGTTTTAGTAAAAATCATAGGCTTCAAGTTCCCCAAGCTAACAGATAGACATACCAAGTCCACATTATCTAACCACCATTTCCCAGCAAGCATCAGCTTAGAACCAACCTCCTGCCAAGCCTCTAAATCAACGGTACACAATCTTCAGGGAGATTACATATCATGCTTCTGCTATAGTTGCCATACTCTACTTTTTAGCACTGACTATAATTTGATGTAGCTACAGGCCTGGTGGTGTTTTTGTTACAATCCTAAATAATCACTTTTTAGAGATTGACAGGAAAAACAGATTGTGAGAGTATCCAGCCCAGAAGAAGATACCAAAAATACATACACACAACTAAAATGACGATAAGCCATAGAATACCATTCAGAAAGTGCTAACACATATCCTAGTAGTAAAGCAGTCGATTGGCAGTTCGATTGACGTCTGAAACAAGCAGTGATGCTTCCACCAGGAGAGACGATATTTTTATAATCTTGCCCATCTGGTCAAAGAGGTTCCACAAAGTAGAGAGATAGAGGAAGAGAGAGAGATATTACAGAATAAGGGATGACCCACTTCAGCACATTAAAGGGTTCCTCTCAGCGTGGCCTGAAGTCCTGAATTATTTCAGCTGAATTACAGGAGGGAGAGGCTGGGTTGCCTGTAGAGGTGTGAAAACTGTTGGAAAGAAAAAAACATGAAGGAAATAAGAAGCAAGACTAGTTCTAACTTACTGCTGTAACGCAGCTGTAGGGCATAGAAAGCCATCCAACATAGGCAGTTATTTCTTAGAACTTTTTGAGATCGGATTGACCGAGTTCGTCTTGGGATGATGAAATCTTTTTCCTCTCCTTTAAAGATATCAACCTAGGGGAAATGACGTTAGCTTGGACAAAATAAGCATACATTTCTCTTCTGGTAACCAGGTCATACCTGATTTAGCTGGTTTCTGTAACATTCATTGGTGCCCACTGTAGGAAGGTGCCTTGGTTTGATTTGTGTCTGATTAGCCTTAATGACCCTACTGTGAGTGAATCTGTAAGCATGGCACCTTGAACAAGGGGGTCTACCACATCTGACCAACTTGACGAAGATGATTCACCATAGGAAACCAAGTTCACAAGATGGTTGTCCATCAGATCAACCACCTAAACAAGCTTTGTCCTGCTAGAAAAAAAAAGTAAAACCAGCCACCATTTTAAGTGAAGGCAGTTTACAAGCAGATAAATACATTTTCATTTACACCAAAATAAGTATTTTTTGTGCATTGAATCTGGTTCATGGAATCTGGTTTCTGACACTACATTACCCATATTGAAGATTAAAACCTCTCCACCCTGTCCTCTCTCCATCAGATGGGTTGACAGACTGCATGGACCCAGACTGCTGTTTGCAGGCATCATGTCATGCTACCGCTCTGTGTATGGGCTCTCCTGATCCACTGGACATCATCCAAGAAACGCAGATCTCTTCCAGTCTAAGAACCCTGCAGTCCTTCTACCAGCGTGTCCGCTTCCTGGTGGGCCGGGACAGCACCCACGTCGTCCCTGGCACCAACCCCTTCGATGGCATGTAAGTGTTTCAGTAGTAATGTTCACAATTTTTCACAGTTTCTTGCAGTTAAAGTTCTCTTTTCCATACTTATCCCAAATCTCAATCCACTGTAGTGGTAATATTTAGATCAATCAGTGACTATAAGCAGATGCTGTCAATCCATCTACTGCGCTTGTTCCTGTAAACAAACAGGGCATGGGGCTCATCCCAAGGTGCCCAAAGATGTTTCATATGAGAGAACAGTGCTGTCACTGTGTTGTCCCATGTGACTTCTCATCTTTTGCCTCCATTTTGTGGCATTCCCTTTTTATCTGTAAACAATACCTAGAGTGAACGCCACTTTTGCATTTGCATCCCACACATGCACTGGTCTCGTTCCTCTCTTTCTTTCTGCTCTCAATTGAAATGAGCACACAAGATGTTACTAGAGACTTGGGGAAAAGTTGTGCTCCTTTGAAATCTCGTAGAGTATCCCCGCATTTCCTTTCATGAAAGCAGAGCTGACATTTCAAAGGCAAAAAAATGAAAACGTAACAAGCAAATGAGCATCTTTTTGAGCTCTCCACGGAGAATGTCTCTAATGGTGTTGCCCAGGGTGCGTTGACGTTTTGATTCTTGTCTCTACAAGGCATAATGTGCCAAAGAGGTCTTCGATTCACAGCCTTCTGTTTTTAGGCTTTAAACTCGAATGGAAATTTCTTTGGACCAGTGAGCAGTCCTTCCCTGGGCTCTAGTGAGCAGGGTGTTGTTTTTGCATCTCTTAAATGGCCATTTCCCACAGTTCAGCTCAGACTCTGGACCGAATGGCCTTTTGCTTTGCGTGAATGACTGAGCCTCTGGCAAGTTCGAACTCCCTTTGTCTAATCTGCGCTATCCTAATGAGACTCTGATCACTTCAAAGCTGTCCAGTGCTCTCCTTCATGCACTCATTTCCTCTGTCCTATCTGCCAGACGTTCTTCTGTTGCATAAATCACGCTGCCCTCAATCAACTTGTGTCAGAGTGTCCAATGCGCATAACCTCATGCAAAGATGAAACATTGGACTTTGTTTGATATCGCCTTTTGTGGACATGTCCGACAGTATTCATGAAATGCTCTTGTAATACTGTGTGACATTTTCCCAAGGTGACATTTTTGCAACGCTCGGTAGGGAGTCTCCCGATACCCTCTTCATTATTTCAAGATGAGGGTCTCGGCCTACCCTTCGTCACCATCATCTCCCAAGAAGAAGAAAAAAGAGGCATAAATAAATAAAAGCTTTAGAAGTCGGTCACCAGCCGCAAGATCGGAGACCTCGATTCACCTAAAAATATCAGGGCTGATATATTATTTATTACCTCTTCGTTCCTCTGCTTACTGACAGATATGAGAGAGGCTGACAGCAGCCCAGATGGACCTTTTAGACACAGCCACAGTCGGTCTAAAAGAGCCCCTTGCCATCACCTGATCAGGCCTTTTTATTGATTTCACAACCACCTCTGCATGCTAGGAGACATGTCAAAATGGACTTCTGACATATCTGACCACAAGAAAGCAACAAGGATGGGAATGATCAAAGTCACCGATCATCCCTGTTTTACAAGACTCACCTTTCTGAAACTCTCTGAATGTTCTTCCAATATTTTTTAGCCTTTACAGCACGTGCTCTGTCATCTGGATCCTACAAAAGAATAAATGTGCATGGCTGGAGATGCACTTGGGTCAAGTTGTTTGCTTGCTGCATCTGAGTGTACTTAGCCCCTTTTACTATCGTGTGGAGATGGTGGAGGGGGGTGGTCTGATATAGCCCATTATTTCTCTCCATTTAGAACATGTTGCAGTTTCTGAGAAAGGGAAGAATACTGCTGTACAGATGTAATTTAAGAGAGGGTGCATATTTATATTTAGCCCCTCTTATGAAGTTGTTTAAGTAATTAGCAGTGCTCGCTAAGGCCTTATTCCATGGTTGTTTACAGGAACAAAGACAGTAGGTGGATTGACAGCAATTGGTACCAGTGATGCTAAATTGTGCTTTTGCATTGTTGCTAATGCTTAGCAATGTCCTGACAGTGACCGTAGTGGCTAGTTTTACACATGCAAATAAAATAGTTAGCATTACAGTGGTAAAGAAGCTTTCTGTAAGTATTATTTAATAATTTAGCTTGAACACAAAGTGGATTGCAAACACTAATTTAGTCCATTAGCTGTTTTTAGTCTTTGCTAAAAACATGGCATTCAGACCACTGTGCATGTAAAAAAAAAAAAAAAAAAGGTTTATAGTGCTCCCAGACGCTGCCTCTCGGGAGAATTTAGCATGCTTTCTTTCATTGTTATTTACAATGTCTTTTCTAATATCAAGGCAGACGTGGCCTACAATTTGCTTCTATACTCTAAAATTACACAGTTGTCAATGCCGTGCTGATGGTCTACAGAAGGTGAAATGTCTGTTGTTTACTACTTGCCCGTTTCTCTGCCATTCCAGTCTTGCTTGAGATGGGGGTTTGCTGAATAAATGAACTTTAGACTTTTTGTCTAGACCTCTTCACTGTTCCTCCTTTCTCCTTTATCTTCTTCGGATCTGTTTAATGTCAATATTTAAATAATTTGTCGTGGAGTTGGTGAATCAGCTCAGCATATTTCGCCGTGGCTCAGAGCCGACAGTTCCACTCAGTGCACCCTGTGAAAACTTGCGTCGCTGCCCCTTCTGAATGAGAATACTCTAAATCAAACTGTCACCTTGAGCAATGTTGTAGATAGACAAAAGCTTTACACATATCTCTCTCTTTCTCTTTTTCTGTCTCTCCACCCTTTTATTTAGTGATCTTTCTTTGTCACTCCCACTCTCTTTTCTATTCTACATGAGTTCGCTCGCAGTCTGATAATAGACATTGCGGCGGGGCTGTGCACTTGTGCGCTATCTCTGCTAGCTTTGTTTACAGGGACGCAGAGCTGAGCCAAGGACTGCTGAAGGTGAGAGGCTGCTTAAATTAGCATAAAGTTAGCCTCCCTGGGACAGGGATATTGTTGGGTCTGTGATCTTGCCTGCAGTAAGGACAGGAAGGGGCCAGCCTCTTACACGCCATGTTAATTGTTCCGCTACCTGGCACTTGTTTAATGCCTAATACTTTCGTAGAAACAGCCCCAATGTGTAATTTATTTTGCTCAAATTCTTTTTTTTTCTTCAAACTAGCTGATGTGTGTACTTTTTTAGATGTTAAAATACTTTAATATCATATTTAAATCTACATTTCTATCCTAATTTCAACAATTTGCCAATTATTTAATCAAATTTAGCAGTGGCGTGTAACACAGTCACTCCAACTAGCCACTTTGGCGGGTTGAATTTTGTATATAATATATACATTTTTCGATTGCGGCCTTTTTAAAAAAGCCATCTGAACTAAACTAAGTGCAATATAGTGTCAAAAATATTGATTTTCCAATACATATCAATACTAAAATATCTGAAACTCTTCCGAAACTCATTTCCCAGGGAGAATAGATACACGATACCAGCTGTGCGTTCTCGCTCTCTCAAGATCTCTCCGACAGCAAGAAACGCCTCGCCTCACTCTCTCGTTTCATTTGCTCCGGGCTTAAATTTTGGCGTGGGATTGTAATTTTACTCATTCCAGCAGATTTTGTGCTTACACAGAAGGGTGCGTGCACATAAAGCCGTCTCTCAGGACTAAATTGAGTTCTTTTTCGCTGCTTATTGCGCTTAAATAGTCAAATAAAAATGTCAGAAAAAAATGACAAAATGTCGGCCTTGGCAAGTATTCACAACGTAAACAGTCAGTTATGTTTTAAGTGAATGTAAACAGTTGAAAAAGAAAACGCATGTGTAACAATATAATGGAATCGGATCCATGCGTCAGGTCTTAAAGTGACAACAGCCTAATATATCTGCTGTCAAATTATGTGATAACATAAAAAATATCTATATGGCAGTTTTTCCCCTTTGGTATTGGTCAAATTTGTGGCCAGTAAAATGCTAAATGGCTAGTAACTTTGGAAAACCACTAGCCACATAGGCTGGTGAGCAAAAAAAGTTAATATCAAACCCTGATTGCATGTATCAATAAAATAAATTATTCAGTTATCATATATGAATATGAATAGACTACAAAAATGTACAGCTCTTTTATTTTTTTTATATATTTTGTTTTTCACTTTTTTTTTGTTGTTGTCATTCTTAATCCAGCATGACGCCTGATTAAAAATCTCTAACACCGTGAGTCATAAGTCGTGTCTAGCAGGGAGTTGTTTTGCACTTGTTTAGGATTTTAAGAAACTGTGTTTGACTTTTTCATATCGATCAGTAAGTCGGAGCTCCTGAGGCAGACAGATAACATCAGATAGAGGCAGTTTTAAGCCCAGATATCTGCTGTGACTGAAAGCACTCCTACCATTGTTCTCTCAAACAGCAGGAATGACACAAACACTATCCCATTTTTTTGTATGTAATCTATTGCATCTCAGACAGAAAATCCCGCTGAGGTTTCCTCAGAGCTGTTGGATTCGTTTAATTTATTATATGTGTTTACAAATAGCATCTGATGCTTTTCTACATTGTAACACAACACTTATGATTTTCCTTTTTTTTAAACCCCGCAGTCATGCCTGTGTTATCCGGGGACAAGTGGTGACTTCAGATGGGACTCCTCTGGTCGGTGTAAATATCAGCTTCATTAACAAACCAGCCAATGGGTATACCATCACCAGACAGGATGGCAGGTAAGTTGCAACATATGATGAAATGGTATTTAAAGATGTGGGCTAGCAATTAAAGTGACGTATATTCAAATTGGATTTTTTTATGTCACCATCATTAAACATGCACCTTTAGCCCACATCTGTGCACTCGAACTGCTTTCTGTATGGCAGAATGTTGTATAATGTGCTGGAGGTTTTATCCCCAGCACACCATTGCGCATTTGGCCTGTTTGCTTGGATGGTGCTTTTTGTAGCCATAAAAAAAAAACTTCCATCTCCCTGACTCTCTCTATTTTTTCCCTCTCTTTGCTCGTAAACACATGGTCTCCCTCCCACAACAGCCCATCAAGCCCTGCAAGAACAGACTCAGTATGGCATGAAATCACCAATGCACCTGTTTGCTTGCTTTAAAATGGGAAAGCTGTCTTAAATGATTTTGTTTGATTGTGTTTTTTGCACTATCCTGGTGCCTTTGCTTTTTTAAATTACTTCTTTCTTCACTTCCAAAGAGGTCCCTCTGCTACTCTACCAAGCGCTAGAGTCGGATTGACCAAGTAACATGCAGTGAATATTCATGTAATACAAAATTCAGCCTGAAGTCAGACTCTGGAAATCCTAAAAGCCATCCATTATACATCTGACTTGATGTATTGAGAGTCACTTACGCAACCCTGTTTCCCCGAAGGAGAGAGCTGAATGCTGTGTCACGTCATCAAGAACCACTGAGCTATAGGCGATAGACTTAAAAGATGTCACATGATTATTATGTAGTGGAAGTGACACCGGTGTAGTGCGAGATTCAATGTGTGGAGATTTTCCAGCAAACAAAAATATGTTCAAAGAATGTTTTGCTAAATTAAATTTCAAAACGTTTCAACACATTTTCAAGGTTTTTTTCATGGGAATGTTACTTTTGAATGTTCTCTGAACCATCTGAAACAAGTAGTAAGTACTAATGTTTAAAAAACGTATATATATATATATATATATATATATATATATATATATATATATATATATATATATATATATATATATATATATATATATATATATATATTGTTTTTACTGGAAAAGTGATTGTTCACAACTTGAGAGAACCTTAGACCAAATATGTAACACTTTACAGTAAGGTTTCATTTGTTAACATTAGTAAACTACATCAGTTAACATGAACTAACAATGAAACATATTTCTAAACCATTTATTAATCTGTTAATGTTAATCTCAACATTTACATGATTTAAATCAAAGGTTGTATGTTTACATTATTTAATGAACCTGAACTAACAATGAACAGTTGTATTTTTATTCATGTTAACATAGATTAACCTTAACTAATGGAACATTATTGTAAAATATTACCAACAAAATTCTGAGAACATTCCCTGTTAGCTGGTTTAGTGGTAGCTACTGTACAAATTATAAATGGTACAAATTAATATTAGTATTGAAGTCAGCTAACAGGTCAACTAGTTAACTGGTTAATTGCCAATAGTATGCTAAGCTAATAGGTTGATCAGTCGGGCTAATCAGCTAGTGGTATGCAAAGGTACTAGGTTAACGGGTTAGCATGTAAGCTAACAGAATAAATTTAGAGCTTAAAATGTATGTCTTAGGTTATATAATGCGATTTTTTACGTAAATATATGTACATCCTGTCAATATTAATAATTAGCTGAAGTGAAGCTCCACAGTATAAATTAACCATGGGTTTATTATAGTAAAAGTGTAGTAACCATTTTTTTTTTTTGGTTGATTGATTACCATTTGAATAACCACAGTTTTACTACAAATACCATGGTTAAACTATGGTTAATTGTTGTTACCATGGTTTAACTATAATAACCAAGGTTTTTATTTTTAAATTTTTTTTGTAAAACCATGGTTTATTTTCATAAGGGTATTTCTGGTCAGTGTTTCTGTTCCGCTAACACGGTTGTTTATAACATTCTCGTTTATAACAAATTTGTGTGTGAATGTAATTGTATTTAGCACCCAGGACTCTGCTGCTGTGTGAACAGCCTTCAGTTCAGAGGACTAAAACTGTGTATCTTCAACCTTTTTGGGGTCTAACCCATCGATCTGACAAACCCCTTTGGGTTAACACTGCGTCGCCTCAAAGTGTGCACTGAAAGGCTGAATGCACTAATAAAGTGTGTCACCCATGCCTGATGTGCTTGTGTGATTGATAACAGGCCTGTGAATCGCTCATCGATTGGCATGGCAGCCTTTAGGGCAGTGTGCCCGTGTCATGGTTATATATGTTTGAGCGCGTCTCTCAGCACGTGACTAGCTGGCTAGCTTTTACTGCAGATTAGCGTCAGCTCTACGGCTGCATAAAAACACACACGCGCTCTCTCTCTCGCAGACACTTCCCAACAAACACGCTCAGTTCAAACTCCCACAGCGCACAGACAAATGCTCACATTTTAGCAAGGGCACGACAACAAGGGCAAAGCAGACCTTTGTTTATCAGCCGTGCCAATGAAAGCTCAGTGAATGGCCCATTGGGATATGTAGTTGAATTAATGTTCAAGCAGCTTGAGGTGTGACTACAGATGCACACCGCATCTATGCCAACCTCGAGAACAAAGACACCGTGTACAGAGCATTCTACGCGTCCACATATCACGTATTGCTAATCGGCTGTTTGCGTTGTAGGCGTTTTTGGCAGTAGAGTGCATTTGTGCTTTCATGTCTACCAGAGCGTGTTGTAAAGGTGTGTTTCTCCTCATGACTATACACAAAAGAGAAGATCAGAGTAGCATTCTGGATTTGAACACAATCAGTCACCTAGCAAGTCGCATACACGCTAGCCAACAAGCATATAGCGTCCCGCTTCGTTTCTGTTTAGCGGTGTCAACAACAGAGCTCTCTGATCAGAGCAACTCTATATGCAGAGCGCGTGCTGCCATTGTAGCGTTGTTGTAAAGTTATGTTAGCGCAGACAGCTCAGATCAATAATCCTTTACCCTTCCCTTAAATGTCATTTCCCCTCTCACCTCCTTTATCAAAGCGCACCGTTCCACCACACAACAAAAGACGCTCGCCGGCGTACGCACGGCTACTGCAGCGGCAAAGGAATCTTGCCAGTTCATTCCTCAAAAGAGAATAACGACACCACTCATTCATGCTGATTTTATTAATGCAAATTCAAAAGCACAGTGTATTAGGCCGAGCCAATAGTTCATTGTATTCCAGTCACATTGTGTAGCTGCCAGATAAAAACCGTCCCCACTAACTGAAGCCGAGTCCTTTTCAATTGAATCCTGTAATTTGGAGAAACATAATGAATTACAACCTTTATTAAGTCTGGGTTTAATGGCAGTGCAGAGAAACGGCGAATAATGTTGATTAAAATGGTAGTAAATGGTATTGTGAGAGAATGAAATTGCATTGTAATTTTATTGAATGGGAAATCAAAACGCCATTTTTAAGGCGTACTTAAGCAAAGAACTGCACTTAATGAATCAGATCCACTCTATTAAAATCTGATGCGTTTTATTCAAGAGATAAGCAGTCATAGAGAATTACGATGTGATAAGTATAGTACAGGGCAACTTGTAAACGATTAATGTTTATGTTAAAATAATAGGACACCGAAATATTAAAAGCTCTTTCATTAGAACAATGATAGAGTGACCTTTTCCTTGTATAAGGTTAGACATTTGGATAATTTGGGTTCAAACACTAATTGGCTTCAATGCAATTCACAAAAAAAACCACACTAACAGCACACCTATAATAAACATTTAACTATTTTTTTTTTCATAAGCTGTGAATTATAAGCAGTATTGTAACTTTTTTAATCACTTTTTAATCAATTTTTTGTGGAAGAGCACTTCTGCTGTGTGCTTTCCTGTTGGGGTTGAACAACATTTATGTGATTGAAGTCGAGTCAATGTCGACTAGTCGCTGATGATGTCATTAATGAACAAATGAGCCTGAACCTCGAGCTGAGACTCAGAACACGGGTTGCCTTGTGCACAGCTATGGCATATGACACAGTGCTGCCCACAAGGCTATTCCTCCTACATACTGCAGGGTTCTCAAGTTTTATTAAAAGCTTGGAGTGAGATCACATGCGGTTAGGGGAGGAGCCTAAATGGAGCCCCGCCCCCGCCTAGCCCCGCCCCCAATTTTACCCATTGTTCATAATTAACCAGCAAAAATTGAAATTATAACAATTGGTAAATCTGATAAATGACAGAGCAATTCATCACATCAAATATAGGCCTACTCTTTAATGTTATATTTCAAAATTAGGCTACAAATATATAACAAATTGCTCCAAAATGTTTGGAAAAACAAATATTTTTGCATTTTTCCCTGACATCTTTGAAAAATACAAATGCAATGGCAATGATTAGGCTAATGTATGTTTTGACAGGATATACAATATTACCAAGAGCACTCTGCTTTAGCCTTAATGTAGCCTAACTAGAAATACTATTAATACAGTATAATATAGAATTCAAAATAAACTGAAGAAATACATCTTCATTCCTTCCCATACCCAATAACATTTCCTCAGCCAAACTGAGGCAAAGCTTTTGGCCTGGTTGCAAAGCAGTTGTAGATTTTTTGACTGCATCAATAATGTAAACGATGGGCTATATATTAAATGTTCTAGAACTTCTAGTCTAAAAATGTTAGGCGAGCTTTCTTCCAACTTACTTTCTCCATCACGACGTGTGTTCGCGCGATGTCGCGGTGGCCGAACTTCCGTGTGTGTTCGCGGACTTCGCGCGTAGTTGCCTAGTAACGAACGCAATCTGGCCGAGATGCGGACGCGCTGGCGGCAGGAAACTTATCTTTGTGTGCATGCACCTCGTATACAACGTTATATATAAAGCTTGCAGGACAACTTGGTTGGCATTGCCTTTTCAGCGTGAGAAATACACGGTGTGGCGTGTGAGCGTGTGAACTGGTTGAATTGCGTGTGTCTCACGGCCAATGCGTGAGACTTGAGAACCCTGATACTGTAACTGCTTATTTTTATCAGTTATTTTGTCTTTGGGTCGTTTATGTTTCTCACAGATTTCTGCTCGTTCTAAATCAGATACAGATCTAAGATGTCATGTCCAGATGTCATGCAAAGGTTACATGCATATGAATGCATTAGTGAGAGAGACAATGGGACAATGGTGTGGGGCTTGAACCTACAACCATATGGTTTCCAACCCAGATTGTGATAAACACAATTGCAAAGCTCAAAAAGCAGTGTCTAACCGAACATGTCCTCTCCGTTTCAGCTTCGACCTGGTGAGTAACGGGGGCGTGGCTGTAGCGTTGAGGTTTGAGCGCGCTCCGTTCATCACTCAGGAGCACACCTTGTGGCTGCCATGGGGACGTTTCTTCGTCATGGACACCATTGTAATGCGACACGAGGTCAATGACATCCCAAGCTGCGACCTGAGCAGCTTCACCCGTCCCATGCCTATCGTCCTGCCTGCCCCGCTGACGGCGTTCGCCGGGACCTGCAAAGAGAGAGGCATCGTCGTTCCAGAGATTCAGGTGAGGAAGAACTTTTTTTTTTTTTATATTGTGTATGATTTATATGTTAATCAGAGGTGGGTAGAGTATCCAAAAACTGTACTCAAGTAAAAGTACAAGTACTTATAGAAATATTTACTCAAAGTAAAAGTAAAAGTAATAATCTTAAAAGTTACTTGAGTAAGAGTAAAAAAGTATCCAATGAAAAAACTACTCAAGTAGTTAGTTACTAGTTACTTTGGAACACATAGGCCTATATATATATATATATATATATATATATATATACTGTATATGTAACATGATATTATTTTTTCATTTAAATGACTATTATTATCATAATTAGATAAGCTATCTTTGCAACAAAAACAGAAGAGACAAACATTATTTCTGTATATATCTGTATTATATCTGTAGCCTGAAAACCATTGCCTGTCCTTTGGTTTGTATAGTATAGTAACTTATGCAACTACATTTGGATTATTAGACAATGTCGGAATAAAGTGACTCTATGGAGTTTTGCATTCATATGTAAGGGGTGGTAACCATTGACACAGATTAGAAAGAGTTAAAACTCTTCACATGTGCTCGCAGTCATGTCATGCCCAACACAAACAACGATCAAATACACGGATCTTCTTCTGTCTGTTCTCCAAAATGTATTTAAATGTAGGCTATATTTATGAAAGCATCTTTAAACTGGTTAACTGAGTCTAATAAGGCAGGCAAAGGCATTCGTTTTCAAGTCGAGTTCGCATTCAAGTTGATCATTCAAACTGATTCGCGAACCGATTTAGACAGATCTGCCCAACTTGTTTGATGAAGTCTTTGAACAGAATCAACTCAAAAGAGTGATTCATTTGTGAATTGAGCATCGCTCATGCCCAGAAAAAAAGAGAGAGCGCGCGCTTAGAATAAACTACGCTTTTAACAACATATTGCATTAAAATAAAGTAACGAGAGGAACGTCGCCAAACGTAACGAAGTAAAAGTACAGTTTTTTTCATTAGAAATCTACTCGAGTTAAAGTAAAAGTACCCACAATTAAATCTACTCTTAAAAGTACAAATTTTCCAAAAAAATACTCAAGTAAATGTAACTAAGTAAATGTACTTCGTTACTACCCACCTCTGATGTTAATGTAACCAAAACTATGTGGGCGGGGCAGCGTAATATTAACAATGCATGAATATTAGAATTTTAAGTTTAATCAATCAAATCCCAGTTCAAATCCCAGTTATTAAACATCACATTACATAGTTAAAGTTAGCATGAAATGAAAATTGACCTAATGTATTTTTAAATGCATGTTATTGGTCTATTTGTAAATGATTCATTCATGCATAAATGTATTATATATATATATATATATATATATATATTAAAAAAATAGTTTTGACCTAGTTATTCTTAATAAAAAATGTCTTAACTTGATCTGCCAGACTTTTCTCTATATAGACGTATGCTGGGCTTCTCCAATCATTCATTCCGCTTTAACTCCGCCCCTTTCTTACTGGGATTTTTACTTGCAGTGCAATTTACATTTTAGAACAAAATGTCAAAGTATAGTCAAGTTATGTTTACCACTGGCTTTATTTTACACAAAAATCGAAAACCCCCATTATAAAACCTCACAGGAAAATCTCGAAGGAACCAACGGCAAATTAGTCTACCGGGTTCTGACGTCATCACTGTATCACTGTATTGACTCACTATTGACCACTCAAGCTCACATTCAGTCTCCGCCCTACTTTCTTTAGTTTTTTTGTGGATAATCCATTTTACTCTAATGGAAGAATAGATCTGTGCTGCTTTAGTTTTATCATGTCTGAGATGCATTGTGAATGCCAAAAGCTTGTTTTATGAAATTGTTTGTGTTCATTTTACTTTGAATGTCTAATGTTGTTTTTAACAGATTTATTCTGGTTTAGTCTGACACTTGCAAACAGTTCAAAAGTGATGTCTCAGACAGATAAAAAAAAAAAAAACTTGGTAATTTGCCAGGATTGATTCCAGACTAGTGCTGGTTCTTAATGATGTTCTGATAGACAGCAGGGGCAGGTATTGGGAAATGTACATCAGAAGGGAATGGAGGAGGCTCTGTCTCAGGTGACAGTCCTGTGATTTTATCTCCTGTGTGTAATTGGGCAGAGATACACAGTCCAATTTACCACTCCAGACATTTTCTGAAGAACGATAATTACATTTAGACGAAAGCAGCATGGAAGCTTTTTGAGTCTGAGTCCAGGAGGAGCTTTGCAATCGGTGCTGGAAAAAAAAAATCTGTGTTTTGGTCTTGAGTGACAGGTTTTTTGTGTGCGAGTATGTGTATGATAGTTTCGTTGTGTTCAAGTGTGTCCATTTTTTATGTGCACATATTTATGTGTGTGTGTGTGTGTGTTTTGATACCTTTGTGCCACTTTCCTAATTATTTTGTCGTCCTCTTTGGTTAACAAGATAAATGAGTCAGCCTCACATGCATTCTGCTGTCTGGGCTATTAATATCGGCACAAATCTGTCCCATCCCAAATCTTGAGGTGGGTTATTCACACACACACGTACTGTACATATGCATCTACACACACCCACACACAGAGTTATCACAGGTTTACAAACAGAAACGTCTATGGAGGAGCTTTTCTTATCAGTGTTTATTGACGCTGTACCGATCGGCTGTGTTTATTGGTCGGCTCTGTGTCTGACTGTGATAAAGGAGCGATACGCTGAGAGTTAATGAGAGCTCTGTGTGTGTGTGTGAGCAATGAGAAACCTCTGAGCCACTGAGTCTCCAAACTGACTTCCTATGAGGAAACAAAGGTGTTGTTGATGATGCCCGTGTGACCTAGATGTATGCATTGCGTTACACTGAGTAAGTGGTTCTCTCAGAGCAGTTCAAAGGTTCCTGGGTCACATTTAACCCCAAAATCAAAAGGAGAAAAAAAAAGAAATTGTATTTAGAAAATGTTATTATTAGAAAACTAGCTTATTTCAGATATATTAATATTATCTGGCAATATTGTGACAATTATGTCCTGCCAAATCACCTACTCCCACCCCACTTTTTTCACATTACAGTAATGAACATTTTTCATTATTTACATGTAATTCATATTAATTTATTTATTTATGCATGCTTTTATTCAGCAGTGATGCCTTAAATTAATCAGAAGTCACAGTAAATGCATTGAATAATGTTACAATTTTTTTAAAACTTTCTATTCATCAAAAAGTATGAAAAGCAGCACAGCTGTTTTCGACTGATAATAACAAGAAACGTTTATTGAGCAGCAATGATTTCTAAAAGGATCATGTGACACTGAAGACTGGGGTAATGATGCAAAATATTCAGTTTTGAATCACAAGAATAAATTACATTTTAAAATATATTCAAATAAAAAACTGTTTTTTAAAATTGTAATAATATTTCACAATATTGCTGTTTTTTCTGTATTTTTTATCAAATAAATGCAGCCCTGGGGAGCAGAAAAGACTATTCAAAAGCATAATAAATATTCTCGACCCCAAACTTTTGACTGGTAGTGTACTATATATTTAATATAATCTTTTTTTAATACAATAGCTTTTTTTCTTCTTTTTTTAAGGGTAAAATATGACATAGATTCACCCAATATTTTTTTTTTGCACTGTATAGTAAAATGTCTCCTGTGAAGAAATTAATTCGTTCTCATTTGCGTAGATACCGGAGATGCTAAATAATGCAAACACTTCTCAGCAGGGTGCATCTCCCAGAAAAATTAGAAGATTTGTTACTGTTGGCTCTGTTTTGTTGTAACTAATATCAACATTTTCACCTTCTCCCCAGACCCTCCAAGAGGAGGTGCGGATCCCAGGTACAGACGTGCGTTTGGGCTACCTGAGCAGCCGGACGTCGGGGTATAAGTCCCTCCTGAGGATCACCCTCACCCACTCCACCATCCCGTTCAGCCTGATGAAGGTGCACCTCATGGTGGCCGTCGAGGGAAGGCTCTTCAGGAAGTGGTTCTCAGCTGCGCCCAACCTCTCCTACGACTTTGTCTGGGACAAAGCAGACGTCTACAGCCAGAAAGTTTATGGGCTGTCTGAGGCTTTTGGTGAGTTGGGAATGAAGTTGTTAGTGTCTAATTTTTCAAGGCTGTTGTCAGTCTCAAGCTTAGCAATGTTTCCTCTTCACTCCTGCTAGTGTCTGTGGGTTTTGAGTACGAATCCTGCCCGGATCTGATCCTCTGGGAGAAGCGGACAGCCGTCCTCCAGGGATACGAGACTATTGCGTCCAACCTTGGCGGCTGGAGCGTGGACAAACATCACGCGCTGAACATCCAAAGTGGTGAGTTAGTACACACAGAAAGATATTTAAAAGCTCTTAAACATGTGGTTGCTTATTAATTAGATCTGATGAGTTTTTTCCATTCTGGAAATGCTCATAAATGTTCACTGCTTGCTTAGGACGAGAACGCTTAGTTTTAAGACGACTTGAATTTGGGCCCTGTTTACACCCGGTGTTAAGACGCATTTTTATAAATCCGATCACAATTGGACGACACTAAATACAGATGTAAACGGGGTCTAAAACGTTTTGAGCTTGTCCACTTTCTACCACTTCCAGAGGTAGTCGAAAACGCAGTCGACCGGATTGCTTTCGTAGTGTAAACGGTCATGTGATCGAATGTGTTTTAACAGCCTCAAAAGACAGCCTGCTCCCCGCCTACTGACCTAATGAATAAACATTATGCGACACGCGCTAGCCAGACGGGATTTAAACTTTGTCGACTGAAGACCTAAGTCTGGTTTGAAGACGAAAAACGCACCAAGTACATTGTTCTCTTGCCATTCCTGATTTCTAACACACACTCACTGTGTTCGGCAGGTCTTGCGTCTGTCAGAGCGGATACGGAAGCTGATGCTCTCCGTGTGTTTTTCCGTCATCTCCGGCACGTTCATATGTAAATCGTGTTCGTCCATTAGATGGAAAGATCTGAAAAAACCCATACATTTACCCAGCCATAAACCCTCCCCTCGAAGAAATCCGGACAGAAGTAGTTATAGGTAGTTATCATGTGTCTCGCTCGTCTATTTGTGATCCGATCGACCAAAACACATCTTAAAGGGATAGTTCACTTTGAAATTAATTTTTGGTATGTTTTAGCTTACCTCAAGGGCATCCAAGATGTAGGTGTCTTTGTTTCCGCAGTAGTTTCAATTTTGATATTTTTAGGTCAAACCGTTCTTGTCTGTCAGTCATATAATGCAGGTCCATGGTCACCACCTCAAAGAGCATGCACAGAGAAGTCCAAATTAAACATGATTTAATGACTCGTAAATGTAAGTACACATTGATGGCCTAAGACACGAAACGAGCGGTTTGTGTGAGAAAACAAGTGATCTGAGGGCGCGGGTGCTTCAGTCTGTGCGTTACAAGAGGTAAAAACGATATAAATACTGTTCGTTTTCTCACACAAACCGCTTGTTTCGTGTCTTAGGCCATCAATGTGTACTTACATTTACGAGTCATTAAATCATGTTTAATTTGGACTTCTCTGTGCATGCTATTTGAGGAAGTGACCATAGACCTGCATTATATGACTGACAGACAAGAACAGTTTGACCTAAAAATATCAAAATTGAAACTACTGCGGAAACAAAGACACCTACATCTTGGATACCCTTGAGGTAAGCTAAAACATACCAAAAAATAATTTCAAAGTGAACTATCCCTTTAATACCAGGTGTAAACTGGGCCCTGGACTCAGATAAGTTATAACATTCATTTATACAGTATAGCGCTTCATACAATACAGATTGTTTCAAAGCAGCTTCACCCTAATAAACAGCAAAATCACAATGTTAATGTAAAATTCTTCAATTATGAAACAAATTCAATTTGAGCTAAAGCAGCTCTAGTGAAGATAATAGTGCCATTATTCAGCTCCATTTAGTTCAGTTTTGTTTCAGTTCAGTTCAATAACTGTCAATGTTGCAGCGTTTGTCAATTATAAAACAGATTAAATTCAGCTATAAGCAGCTCTACAGACTGCAGTAGTGTCATTATACAGTTCAATTCGGTTCAAACGTTCTCATCCAATATTGTCAATGCAGTTAAAACGATAATATCACTGAATATGAATTGTCTTTCAAACCCCAGCTCAGCAAGCCAAAGCCATTATTTCTATGACAGGACCTTATTGGAGTTGGTCAATTTTCCTACTGCTGCTGAATTGTCTATGAAATCAGTGATTGCATAAACTGCTGCATTTCGGTTCCTGTCAAGTATTCTTTTGCTAGCGCACAGCTGCACTTATCTCAGTAAATGAAGCGTACTTGTAGCACAAGTGTTAGGAACGCAGGTGACAGCTTGGTCTGTCACTAAAACCCAGCGCTGTCGACATGGGGACTTCCGGTAAAATTTGCTCAAATTCTTCAAATGTCAACTCTCTCTTCCTTTCTCTTTTCCCAAGAGACTGTTTCATTTACACGGAAGCTTCTTTTAATGCCATCCGTTTAATTGCCTCTCCTTGGCTCCAGACTTATGCAGTAATAGTTTGAATTGGTAGACTTGAAAGAAACTGAATTGAACTCATGCGAAATGAATTGCTGCCAAAATAATTGCCAACTTTTTTTTTCTTTTCTTTTTTAAACCCACAAATGTGTACAACTTTTGACCAAAAAACGACCACAAAGTTCACACCAATGTGTTTTACTGAAATAAAATGAATCGCACTCAAGTGAAATTATAAAATGCTGAAATTGCTGACAACTGCTTTTCATTTGTCAGGTTTTGGTGAATTTTTTTTTTTTCGGAAAGTAAGTGAATTGCTCTAACATACAAACAGAAACAATTTATACAACTTACAATAAAGGTTTAAACTGCGCCACGTTTATCTGGAATATTTTGAGTACAAACGCTTGTATGTTACTTATCAGTGATTTTTCTTTTTCTTTTTTAAGTTTATTTCAGCAGCAACATTTTCTTCAGATAATGCCTTGTTTCAATTGAAAGCCTTTTACGCAGTTAATTTTCGAGCTTGATGTGAATAAGCCCAGTAAACCCACCTACATTTCTAGCCAATCAGCATGGACGGCCTGAAAACTCTGTTATTTAGCATCTCTCAAAACACAGCGTGGTTCAACAGGTGCTCGGGGAGAAAGCGCTACAGAATGAAAATGACTGGAAATTGAGTTTCACGCATTTTGCCACTCTGCCACTTTTGAATGGCGAGCTGTTCAGCGTCTGAGATTCATTGAGGCATGCGGTGAAGATTCAGATTGACTGTGATACTGATAATAAGAGGAAGTTGTTTCCTGCTGCGACTGTGGACTTTTCCTTCGCTGCTTTCTGTACAGAAGATCTGGCTGTGCGAGAGAAAAACACCTCCTTCCGATAAATTAATTCAGTTCTGTTTAGCACATCTCGGCCTGGTTATTTAGCTAAATCCTTTCTCAAGCGCCGCCAGCCGTCCTGTTGCTCTGTGAGAGAGAAAAGCTCCATTCAAATACATTTAATGTCATTAAATTTGAGCAAAATTGAGTCAGATTTAAAACGCCTGCTTCTCATATCCGACAAAACCTGTTGATTTACTGCTGAGTGAATGCTGTTCTGAATGGATTTGTGTAAATTACAATGAATGGACAAAATACTTATGGCATCTCCTTCTCTGTCACTCAGGTATCCTGCACAAGGGTAACGGCGAGAACATCTTCATTTCCCAGCAGCCCCCGGTCATCGGAAGCATCATGGGTAACGGGCGAAGGCGCAGTATCTCCTGTCCGAGCTGCAACGGGCTGGCGGACGGAAATAAGCTGCTCGCACCTGTAGCTTTAGCCTGTGGGTCGGATGGCAGTCTGTACGTGGGGGATTTCAACTACGTCCGTCGGATCTTCACCACAGGAAATGTCACGAGTGTCTTAGAGCTCAGGTTTGGCATTCTGCATGTGCATAGATACACAAACATTCGCCTAACCACCAATGAAAAATTGCTTTGTAAATCTTCTTTAAAAAGTTGTTTACAAACCAAAAGGCATCTTGAAGCTCTATTCATATAGCACATGATTGATGCTTGCTTTTTACATTTAAAGTTCACACAAAAATGACAATTTTGTTGTTGTTTACTCATTCCAAGCCTGTCTCACTTTAATGTTTAAAAAGACTGATCAGATTTGTTCCATAGAAGGAAGTAAATGACAGAATTTTCATTTTTAGGGGCATTGTTTCTTTAAATGTAATGCTAAAATTACATTCACCTTTCCTTCAAACCCAATAAGCACACATGCATCTCCAGGACATCTGTTTAAGGGTGAATCTGGTATCTGGAAAGCATCATTTAATTTTGGGCACGATCATCTGGTAATTTTTTTAAAGAGAAAATTTGCATAGCCTATATCCACATAGGCTACAGTACATTCATAAAGACACATTATCCACCTGGAAGCATTTTAGAGATGTATTGGGAATTAACAAACTTTTTATAAATTACATTTCCAGATGAAATTCACAAATTAAATGGATGTCTAGGCCAGAGGTTTTCAACTGGTTTTGCATCAGGACTTAGATTTTACACTGGTATTTTTTGTAGCCTGATTTCTTGGGAATTGTTTTCTTATCACAAGCCTTTTTTTATCCTAACTATATAGAATTACATGGTTGGTTGCATTTTATTATTTGCATTTAGCATTGTTTATCCATATCAGAACAGACTGTGACACATGTTGGCCTGGTCAACAATCCAGTATGTCTGCTGTGCAGGAATCCTTTCTATTTGTTGTGATGTATGCTTGTAGAACTGTCTGTAGTAGTATACTTTTACCACTCTAACCATTTCTCTGTACATTAAAGGGATAGTTCATCCAAAAATGTTCTTTCTGTCATTAATTACTCACCCTCATGTCGTTCCAAACCTGTAAGACTTTCATTAATGTTCAGGATGTTTTTGATGAAATCTGAGAGCTTTCTGTCCCTCCATTGACAGCTACGCAACTACCACTTTGATGCTTCAAAAAGTTCATAAAGAGATCGTAAAACTAATCAATATGAGTAGTTTAGTCCAAATTTTCTGAAGAGACTCGATCGCTTTATATGATGAACAGATTAAATGTAGGATTTTATTCACATACAAACATTGATCAGCGAACATAAACAGAAGCTCAGCCGAACCTGCTTGACACACAAGAACAAACAAATGAACCTCATTGGTTCAAACGTGAAAGCTCAAACGTGCTGCGAAACATAAGAATGCACCTAATTGTTTCTCACACGTCAAGCGAACATGCTTCAGCTTCCGTTTACCACAACTGATGTGTGAGTTGATGAATGTTTATATGTAAATAAAAGTCCAAATTCAATCTGTTCATTGTATAAAGCGACCGTGTCTCTTCAGAAAATTTGGTCTAAACCGCTAAATTCATATGGATTAGTTTTACGATCTCTTTATGAACTTTTTGAAGCGTCAAAATGGTAGTTGCGTAGCTGTCAATGGAGGGAACGAAATCTCTCAGATTTCATCAAAAAGATCTTCATTTGTGTTCCGATGTTGAACGAAAGTGTTACGGGTTTGGGACGGCATGGTGAGTAATTAATGACAGAATATTCATTTTTGGTTGAACTATCCCTTTAATGCATAATTTAAGTACTAACTCTGTAAGCTAACCCTCTTTTTTTCCACTTTCTTCTTTTCATGCTGCTCTCGCTAAGTACAGAAATAAAGATTTCAGGCATAGGTAAGAGCTTTTCTAAAGAGTAATACCATTTGTTATAATGAATGAACATCAGTCAAATGCTCTGTACAGTCTTTTTTTAATATACAGTTGCTTTTGTAGCCGGCTGTGGAATGCGCCCAGTGTAGGTGTTTTCCTTACCAAGCGTACCAAGAAGTGCATTAAAACACATCCTCTCCAGATAGCAATAAAAGGGGCGGTGCTACGACTGAGCTTTGTGCTGTAGATCTACAGAGACCAGTTTGATGCATGGGTAAACTCTCAAAGTGGGTTAACGCATCAGTAAAAAAAAGCCTTGAAGAATTGTGTACATTGAGGAAACCAGAGTCAAGGCACATAATTTGAAATGTCAGACAGAAAGATGGAAAAGCGGTTACAAGCTTAGCATAAGACCGGTATCAGCGTTTTAAATATTTCTCGCCCTCAGGGGACTCAGCTTCCTTAAAGAATATAATTACCCAACCCTAGCCATAAGAAATACCCGCGCTGCCTTTCCCACAATGCAGCGTGATATTTCACCCGATGATAAATTACACATTCAAAGCGCCGTCGGATCTGAATACACAGTTCGTTAACATGTTTGATTTGACAAATGGCAGCGTGGTATCGAGAAAAAAAAGACATCAGTCATCAAACTTCGATCTAAGCTTTCAATTATTACACACATCCTCCCTGTGGTGCTATGAACCCTTAATATAAGATGTGTGGCACAACCAGCTGTGTGTTTTGACAGGCATCAGTGTGACAGCTAGCAGTTTGATGCTCAGGTATGACTGACAGGATATGAGAGGTTTCTCTGAGAGAGGTTGGCTAAACCCAGAACACCTGCGAGTTTCAAAAATGCCCTATCCTTCATGATGAAGCCTCTGTTAAACCTTGCGTAGTCAGGTCGTGACTTTCCTGTGGATTCAGTCAAGACAAAGGGTGGCGTCACACATCATGTTGCTATTAGATAAGGGCACATGTGCAATGCTGCAATAAATGGCTAGTCGTATACTGCATATTTGCAATGCCAGATAAGCACTGTACAGTTGATTGGGAAGATGCATCCCAGCGACATAAGGGAGAAATGCAAGGGGCAACGAAAGTGATGCTCTGTCATGCTGATAGAACTTTCGACATGCTCTGGCATATAGGTATCCATTGCTTAATGAAAATTTTAGAGAGGTAAGACCTTGTACTTTAGGTCCAAAGGGCCCATTTTTCCCGAACACACCTGCCTGGAAGTTTCTAGTAATCCAGAATCCTTGATTTGCTGGTTCAGGTGTGGATAATTAGGATCGGAGCTCAACGGCGCAGGACAGAAGCCCTTCAGGAACAGGATTGGACAGCCCTGAATCTATTAGGGAATCTTTTTCGCTTTATTACTGATTGATATCAAACCTTTTGTTAGGGGATGCACAATATATCGGCCACCGTATCGGTATCGACCTATATATCGTAGCTGTCCGATGAAAACCGCGTATGTGGATTATATCATTACACTGGCAAGAATATGGTTACATTTAAAGTTGTCGTACCAAGTATGACAACGCTACGTTCAACTGCTTTCACTTCCTGAAAAGTAACCGTTTTGGCAGCGACGATATGTTCATTTTTAATGTTATCGTTATCGGCCCGATAAGAAAATTTGGCCAGTATTTTTAAGCTGATAAATAAGATTATTTCCTTCAGCAGAAACACTTCAGATGCACAATGTTAGCCATGATTGTTTTGAATTGTTTGAAATATGATTGGAATCACTTCAAAAAAGGAAAATACAGTTAAGTGCAACATGTTCTGTCATATAGGCTCCATAAAATTATAATGGGAACATTATAATTGTGTGCTTGGGACATGGCTTTTAATGGTGAGACTTTTGTTTTTGTAATCAGGCTCTCAAAAATTATATAAAAATTTGGATTTAGATTTGTCGGCCAATATAACGGTCATCGGCTTTCAAATGTAAAGAATTATCGGTATTGGCCAAAATGTTCATATCAGAGCAACCGTCTTTAGACTCCCTCAAAATGGATCTTATGCATTTCAATCCATCAAACAGTTTGACAAGTAACCTAAGTCTGAAAACAAGTACTTGCTGTAGTGTGCATTAATGTAAAAGGTCCTCTTCCACAGTCAGTGGTCTTATTCTGGGTAAATACTGTATTGCCTAAGCTGCAGATTGAAGAGAATATTGCTGTGCAATTTATCAACATATTTATTGCAAGCTAGCTATATGAGCAGTAACACATCCATATGTAATATACTGCAGACCTTTAAAGCTAACTCGATTTCCCCCTTCAGTACCGAGGTTTCTTACCGTGATAGTTACACAAGAATGCAAGTGAAGTATGTTCAGCAGGACCTCAAGTCTATTTGTAGGCCAAGCAATCACATTTCACATAGAGTCGGTTGTTGGTCTATGGGTCACTCCATGCTTTTCAGTGTGTTTGTAGCCTCTGGACCAGGTTTGTGGTGTTCTTTTGATTGTAAAAGTTGCGCTTCAGGGTATACAAGCTAAATCATTTACCGGAACATGTTCCAATAATTCACTTAAGAAATAAACTTTTGTAGAAATGACTGCTGAAAAGGCCAAAGTCATATTTGTAACCAGAGAAGAGCAGTCATCACCGTTTGTGTGAAAACAAATAAATGCATCACAGTGTTTATGTATGTGCACACAGACGAGAGAATAAGGCTAGACCATGATCTCTCTGACATACCCGATGACCCCCTTTCCACAAGAGTCGCTCACCTCCATCGTCACAGCAACATGCTGAAAAATCCAATTATCCTCCCCAGACTGGCTTTAGTCGTTGAATATAGATGGAGCCTATGAAGGTCATGGTGTTCTCCTCATCACAGAAAGTACAATGCCGTGTGCCTCCAATAACACATTGTACAACACATAGGCTTCTGGGACTGAAAAGCATCTACCCGGAGTGTCAAACTCCCTGGCAGATTCTTGCAAAATGAGATTGAGATATGTCTTGACAAACCTGTTTTACCTTCCTTCCAAACCGAGGCCATCATTCAACGCGGTCAGCCGCCACGCGGTGACGTTTCGGCCCCAGGTCAACCAAAGCAGCCTGATTCCAGCATTCTTCTAGAAGGTCAGTTGTCGGTCTGAATAATAGATCGAAGCTGACAGTGCTGCAGACCTGGCGCTATTCCTTTCCACACTCTTTCATTGGCCACTGGGATTCGGCACTAACAGCCCCAGAGTTACATGACTGGGATTTGTTTAATCGGTTTTGAATGCTTATACGAAGACAGGTTTTGTGTTAAAGCTGCAGTCGGCATGTCTGGCAGATTGAGTGGACTTAGGCAAAATTTTGAATGTTTACAACTCTCATGCCCCTCCCCCACTATCAACGAATACCCTCCCACCGAGGTCGTGCTTGTCAGTGCGTGTGCACCAGATTTTCTGTATGGTATATGCGGCAGACATGGTCATTGTACATTGTTCTATTGCTTATATAACAGAGCTAGTCAGATAGCACATACAATAACAGTAGCTTTACTACTGTTCTAACTCGCGTAAGAAAGGATAGAGTAGCATCGATTCTTCCAAAAAGCCGAACTTTATCCCTTCATCTGGACATGTTTATCCACCTGACGTTACGTTCACACGGATTTCAGGGCAAACAAAGCTAACGAGCCTGGCCAACAAGTGCTAACATTAGCTATCCATGCCGACACATTTGGGCAAACATACTTAGATTACTAACATAACACTAAGAAATAAAGTAACTGGTTGATAAAGCACAATTACCTGTCGAGAAGAAATGTTGCAAGCTCTGCATCCAGCTTGAACCCAATTAAATCACGTAAATCTCTCCACCTCTCAAATGCCGATCCGATGTTGATCCTGGTTTTATTACGGGCACGGTCGCTTTCTTTCTTTACTTCTTTCTTTTCAGCAGGTGTTCTCTTTTCCTGTGTTGTTTTTGACCTCCTAGCTCTTGAGGTTAACCGAGGAATTGGAATCTTTTCCGCCATCACTCTTCGTTACTGCGCGAACTTCAGGCGTGTGCAAGTGATTGTAACGTGCGTGAGGGGTGGCGTGTGCCCGATCTGTGATTGACAGTCAGATCTCACACCCCCCTGCGCTGATTGGACCCGATGATCCGGGAGTTGTGGATTTTTGCTAAACAAATAACACGCTCCAGGTGGAGTTAGAAGCTCGGGTTTTTTTCTAAAACCACTTTATTTATGTGGTTCTGTCTGATTATAGTGTCGATTTCACTGAATATGATCAAAAAAAAGTTGCCGACGGCAGCTTTAAATATGATGGCATTTGGCAGATGTGTGTTGTAATATTTGCTATGGCTAGTCATCTCTAACCTAGCCCTGCCTGTAGAGAATGTTTTTAACCTCACGTTTTTTTGTTCTCTTGCGGCAACCTTGTAAGATTTTGAATGCGGATCCTGAGACAGGTTGGTTGTTAGTAATGATGGTATTTGGCATCTCTCGGATAATGCTGAACTTATTTGTTCTCTTGTGACCTTTCCCACTTTGGATTTGAATGCTGCTCTCTTGAGACAAATTGGGTGTTATCAATAATGGTATTTAGCAGATGTGTGTTGTAGCTTTTGCTCCGGCTATTCATCTCTTGAGGACTACCATAGACAGGAGTTGTGGCTCTTTTTTCAGCAATTTTTTTCACTTAATGCTTTTATTCTCTTGGTGTCCACTTGGTAGGTTTTTAATGTTTATTCAAGACAAGTTGGGTTTGACAATAATGGTATTTAGCTGACATGTGTTGTAGCATTTGCTTACGAAGATTCTGAACATTCTCTTGCAGTGAACTTTCTCACTTTGGTAGGTTTTGAATGCCGATCCTTAGACAAATTGGATGTTAGCAATGATGGTATTTAGCAGATGTGTGTCGTAGCATTTGCTGTGGCTAGTAATCTTGAGAGTGCTAGACCTACAGTAGCCTACAGTAGAGTGCTATTACAATATATATTGTTCACTTAACATTTTCACTTTATTGCTGTGACCTTTAAGTTCTGAATGCTGATCCTTTGATAGGTTGGTTTTTAACAATGATGGTATGTACCAGACGTGTGTCACAGCACAAGCATGTCATCTTGCGAAGCATGCTTTTTATGTAACATTTTGTTCTTTTATCATGACCTTTCTCACTTTGTTAAGATTTGAAACCGTATCCTAAGTCAAGTTAGTTGGGAGCTATGATCGCATTTGGCAGACATGTGTCGCATAGTGTTTGTTGTGGCTAGTCATCACTAGCGTACTAACACAGCCTGACCAGCAAAGTTGCACTTTTTGCAAAGAATAAATTGTTCAGTTAACATTTTTGGTGTCTTGAATGACCTTTCCCATCTAAATTCTCGTGCTAGATTTTAAACGCTGTACAGAAGTTGATTGTTAGCAATGATGGTAGTTGGCAGATGTGTGTCATGGCTAGTCAACTTAAGAATGCTTTTCACTAATCATTTTTGTTCTTGTTCTGTGACCTTTCTCACTTTGTTCGAAAATGATTAACCCCTCCAGGAAGACACCATTCCAGAAAGGCGAGAGCATTTCACACTTTTTTTTTCTTCTGTCATGAACAACTGCTGAATATTCGCACATTCTTTGGCTAACATTTAACATATAATTTCCACCATGTTTCTCATACAGTACAGTAATTTCCTGTTTTTCACTGTACTCCAGCTGATAGAAATTGCACGAGCCTGAAGAAACGCTCATAGGTGCTCAAACATTACGAACAAGCGCTAACCTGTGAAACTGGTGCAAATCATCCCAATTTCACCACAAGCTGTCTTTGACCACAGATGTAGCCTTCAGCGGAGGTACAATTACAGCATATCACAGATCAACTTGAAGTGTAAAATTGCAGTCCAGGTGCCTAGACTTTCTATCGGCTTCTCAGAATCTGATTAGCGTATAGAGAGGAAACTATATTTTTCCTCCTGATTGGAGTTTTTTTTGGGGGGGGGGGGGGGGGGGGGGGGGGGACGAGGGGTTTACCAGAGACCCTCTTTCGTCTGATTGGAGTTATTTTGTTGGGCTTTCATGTTCTTTAGCCCCCTGTGTGGTGAGGGATGACTTTTACTGTCCAGCTTTGCTGTATAATGGACTTTTTTTTTTTCGGCCTGTGGGCCATTTTTGCTCCAGGAATACGTAATGTGTTTAGATAACGGCTCTAGACCACATGCATCTCCAGATGAAAGTTTCCCTTTGGGGGGTTTGGTGGCATACCTATTTGAATTCACAATGGCAGCACATTAGACACTGGGTCGACTGTACTAACCACAGGCTTTACACACACTACGTGTGTTTCTATATTTTGACTGAGTAGACAGTAAAAGATTGATGCGGAGAGGACATGGCAGAGACATCTATGGCAGTGGATCTGTCAAATGTTGATTCTTATTTGCAGTGCACATGATCTCTCACTGCTAATCCCCATCTCTGAAGTTGTTTTTAATGCATAGATTTGAATGTGACACGTTTTAACGCCTAGATTTAAATGTGACACGTGTGATGCACATCTTGACGTTGTTCAGTTGCATCAGTATCATTTATAAAATGGATAATTTCACTGCACATCATGGCTAACAATGTAGAAAAGGCTTCCGCACTTTATTGTCTGTAATTGTTCCATAATGACCAACACAATCTAACAAGAGCAGCGCAAATTAGCGTCTGGTTTAAGACATGCTTTTTCTGGCCGTTAAATAATGATTCATTTTATATACTCTCCTCCCATACATTTTTCACTGCCTGTCTTTAGTAAATCTTGACAGTAGTTTTTTAATGCCAAAAGAGGGTTTGCACTGACTCAAGCTGTTAGTAAATATGGCCCTTAATAACATTGAGATACTATAGATTTATATATATATATATATATATATTTTAATTAGTGTTTTATTTTGTATTTTCCATTTTCACTTTAATTTTAGTCATTTTATGTGTCATTTTTATTAGTTGTTATTTTTTAATATAGTATATCGTGTTCATTCGTGTTATTATTTTAGGTTTAGTTATTTTATTACATCAAGTGAATCTAAATGAAAATGAGAAATGTCGCTGTGGCAATTTTTACTAAAATAATAAAATAAGTTTTTTATATATATATATATATAAATACATATATATATATATATAATTTTTTTTTTTTTTAGTTAACATCTATTTTATAGTTAACATCTATTTTATTTCAGGATTATATTTTCTACCTGAAATAAAATAGTACAATTATTATTATTATTTTTTTACATTTATTTTAGTTAACATCTATTTTATTTCAAGTAACAAAAATAACCCTGCTTTACACAAACCTTTACATCGCAATTGACCCTTTTTCTTTGTTTGTTTTTAGCAATAGCCCTGCACACAAATATTACCTGGCTACTAGTCCCGTTTCGGGAGCCCTGTACCTTTCGGACACCAGCAGCAGGAAGGTGTTTAAGGTGAAGTCTCTGAACACAGTGAAGGATGTGGCAAAGAACCTCGAGCTGGTGGCAGGCACAGGCGATCAATGTCTACCCTACGACGAGACGCGCTGCGGGGACGGAGGCAAGGCCGTGGAAGCCACACTTACAAACCCTAGAGGTAAACCTCCAGACATCTGAATAACAGTGTTGACATTTTTCCGAAACAGACAGTGATTTTGCCATTACTCATTCAATTTTCCCATCATTCCCATTAGACTATGAGCAAATTCCCTTAAAGGTGCTGTAAGCAATTTCAGCTATTTTGCTTCAGCCACACATACTCTCTCCAAAATGAGCATTGCTTCCATATATTCGTACTGATACAAGCCCAGAGCGTCTAAATTGAACAAACCCCAAAACCACAGCATGAAATTGATAGCAAAACCTGTGGTTTGCCTACACTTGTCAGTTTGTAGTATAAAGGGTAGCCTTCCTCCTAGTGTAGCATATGTAGTGCTTTGAGGGGAATTATGGGGGGCCCGAAATGAATTCTTCCCTCCATTTTCACCAACACAAAGTAATAATAATATAATGACAATTCGATTTGCTAGTCTATCTCGTCATCTGAAATTGAAGAAGCATTTGTGACCGAAGCCATAATTATCTCAGTGGAAGATGACGCACACAGAGTCACATGTTTCCCTTTGTCATTCGCAGTGTCATTGGAAAGATTCACATGCTCTTAAATAGCTTGAACAGCACCACATGCTTCTCTCTTCCCCAGGATGCTCCATGCCTGGTTCTTCTTCCTCAAGACATAAATAATGAATTTATCATATGGATTTTTTATTATAATTCTGGCTTCCTATTGAGCATGTTGATGCTGAGAGAAATGCATTTGTTGAGAGATATCACCTTATCATTCCAAATTTACAGAATGAACTTGTGCTTTGTGTAACTTCTTCATGTTGTTTTTTTTGCACCACGTGAGAGAATTGCAAATTTCACAGGTTACATTTCACATTTAAATCTAAAGGAAAGAATAGAAAACTGTATGTCTAATAAACATGGTATTGTATATTATGATTATTGTAGGCTATTTTATGAATTGCTTTTGTTCCTCTTTTATAAGTTGGTTTGGCTAAAAGCATCTGATAAATGCATAAATGTAATTTTGCACAGGAAAAAAAATCTGACTTTTTTTCTGGAAAATTAGACATATTCCTTTCCTCCCTTCCTTTATTATTTTCTTTGTTTATTTATTTTCTTTCGTCAATAGTGATTCTAATTAGATTTTCATTATGTAATATAGTCAATTTAAATATATATATGTTTTAATATCTGCATGGATCAAAAGCCAAACAAATACTACCACGTAATTTCAGTATTTTTTTCTTTTTTATTGCATTGTAGAAATGAGAATGAAGTTTTTTTCAAATTATGGTTATGATAATTGTAGAATTTAATTGACATGAAGATAGATAGATAGATAGATAGATAGATAGATAGATAGATAGATAGATAGATAGATAGATAGATAGATAGATAGATAGATAGATAGATAGATAGATAGATAGATAGATAGATAGATAGATAGATAGATAGATTTTTTTATAATGGGTTTTATATTTCTCAATATAAATATATATTTTTTTATATTTCTAAATATAAATATATTTTCTTTTTGTATAATGGCTTTTATATTTCTAAAATATAATTTAATTATTTATTTTGATTTTGGGGGTGAAATATGAATTGACAGGATGTTATTAACCCAATTTTGTTTATTGAATTATTTATATTTATATGAATTATTTTCAATTCTACTATTATCCAGGTTATTTCAGGTTTTTGTTGTTGTTGTTTTGTTTTTTTTTGTTTTTTTTTTGCAGCGATTGTCCTCCCAGCAGAGATCCATTCCCTTTTTCTCTCTCTTGTCTCCAGGCATTACAGTGGATAAGTATGGCGTGATCTTCTTTGTAGACGGCACCATGATCCGCCGCATCGATCAGAACGGTATCATATCCACCCTGCTGGGCTTCAACGACTTGACCTCGGCACGACCCCTGAGCTGTGACTCTGTGATGGACATCTCACAGGTGGGTTTGTCGTCTTGTGTTCCCTCTTCAGCTTTTTCACCCATCCGCCCCTTTATAAAGGCCAGTGCATGGCGGGATTTGTGAAAGGCCAGTGCAGCGACGCTATGCTTGGCGTAGTCGCCATGTCAATCTTACCGAGGGTGAAGGGTTGCAGCTGACAGCTTTTTAGGGCAGGTCAGGGGGCGTTGTGTTGCTGTGGGTCCCAGTAACCCAAATGCTGGCCTGCAACATCTAGTTTCAAGCTGACCTACAAACCTCCATCCCAAAGACACGCTCACAGAGGGGTCACCCTAGGCGCTGTTAACCAATCCAAATGTTAACTGTCACCTCAGGCAAGGACACTGCCCTGACTGCGATTTCTAAAGCATCAGTTCGGATTGTGACACAGCCCTAGAGGTCCAGACCTTGGTCGCTTTAGTTTTCCTTAACTTTATTTTGCCTGCAACATTCTCCCAGTGTCAAGACAATCAACAATGCCTACGTTACAATGATAAAAGAAATATCCTCCCTTTTTTTCTGTTTAGTTTGACCAAAATAAGCTTTGGCCTTAATTCTAAAGTAAACCTGTCTATCATTCATTTGTTTACCCAATTTTATGTTTTGAATGTGGCGTTCATGGGCAAACTGGAAAAATGTTCACAGACTGTATATAATTACTAGATATCTGTGCACTCAATCATTACATTGAACTCGGAAAGTCTGTATTCTATCTTCCTCGTTTGAAAAGTGCAATCCAGCTTTAAAACTCAACTCAAGCAGTAATTTTCAAATCAGTGTCAGCCAGTGGACATCACTGGAAAACGGCGGCACCCAGGAAGATGTAGACAGGTAATTATAGATATTTAGGCAAATAGAAATCATCAGTGAGTCAAAGTTGTCTGCACTCATCAAGGGTGCGTTTATTTGATTTAAAAAATACAGTAAAAACAAATATTGTGAAATATTATTACAATTTAAAATATCCGAACTTAACTCTTTCCCCGCCATTGACAGAATTTTCAGTGTTTTCACTGTTATACGGTAGGGGGCGCTATTACACATCTTCTGAAAGACTACTGAATCTCCTGATTAAAACACAGGCGAAGAAGAAGCAGAAATAAGCGATAGCAAATGTAAGCAGATGCACATGTAAAATAACAATCATATAAATCAAAACTGCCTAATGTTACTGAATGAAATGTCAACCCAGGACGTGGTTTAGGACTGTGAAGCTTTGAGGGTGTCGATGGACTCAATCTACTCCATTTATGATTTGATCATCGTTCTGAATCTGATCCAGTCGTAGTCTTTGACAAAAACATGATTTTCTCTGCTTTTTGCTCACAATGTTGCTTTTTTATGAAACTTACCCACATTCTAGTGTTGTTAAAAAAGGAATGCATCAATCTAGAATAAAAAGAGGCTCTGTTCTTTCTCTGTTCTTGTTTAAAAGCAGAGGCTCTGTGCTTTCTTTTGATGTATTGCATGTTCAGAAATTAATACAACAAAATATTGTTGGGGCCATGAAACTTGTGAAAATGATCAAAAACGCTGGCAACTTTCTTTCAAAAAACGCTGGCGGGGAAAGAGTTAAATTTCAGCATCATTACTTCAGCCTTCAGTGTCACATGATCCTTCAGAAATCATTCTGTTATGCTGATTTCTTTTGAATGGTAGTGTACATTTTATTTACAATAAACATGTGATGTTTAGGAAATAAAAAAAAAAAAAAAGTAGGCTTAATTTTCTTTATTCAAAGTGTCATTTCTTTTTGAAGCAGGCAATTTCTTGTTTTTGTGAGATTCAGCCTACAAGCAAAAATGAAATTTGAGACCTTGACAGGTCTCGCTTTTGATGACTCTTCAAAACCACAGTTTGAAGATCATAAATTGTCTGAAGTGAGAAAAAACTTGCTGTAGTCCAGCACTGTATTCATCCTTTAACCTTCTAGTTTTGCTTACATGTATCAGTCCAGCTTACGTTTTTGCTCAATAATGCCTTTGCCGCCTGACTGAGAGGCTTTATTTTACTGAGAGGATGTGGAGCACCGAGGAGACGACCTCCATCTGCACCTCAGAGAAAACACACACACACACACTCGCAGAAAGACCACTGCAGTCCCAGCCTCAATGATGACAAATCACACCAGCTTCTGCCAAAGACACTCAGACAGTAAAAAGCATCCATTAAAAATTCATGTGCAGCACACGCTCACTGCATCAAACACACCGCCGCATTACTTAAGCCTTCTGCTGCCACACTTTTGAGGGCTCATCTGACTCCCTCTCATACGCCGCCTGCCAATTCCCGCCTAGATCCAACAGAAAACATCATATTTTTGGTGCAGGGTGCCGAGTTCATTAACACGTGATGCTCTTTAGGTACTGATATCTCCACTTCCAATAAGACCCCATTTGAGGCTCCAAATCTGTGACGGCTTCATTCCTTTCCACTTACTATTCAGATCTCGCATTCAGAGCACACCTCGCATTATATTCCAAATCTGTTTGCCTTTTGGGCAGCCAAGGCACCCTGCACGAGCACTATGAATTTGAGACTTGGCAAGAATATTTCTACACAACTATTACTTGAGCTTCGAGAATAAATATTCACCTCAGGCCCCCCTGAACGTAGAAATATGGTGATAGTCTTGGAGGGATGGAAATGTCGTTTTAGTTTAGTGATGGTCTGGGGAAAATTCACTGGGCTTTGGCAAAATCGCAATCCCACACTGCGCCAAATGATTTTCTTACTCAGTGTTTTTGTGTTGCTTTCCACTACAGATATCAAACATTCTTAAATCAAGATACATTTAAATAAAAGTACTTCTTTTTTTTTTACAAGAAAATGCTATTTCAGTCGTTCATTTAAAAATGCCATGTTTAATTCAATGTGTTACTTGCGGTTTCTTGTAGTTATTTTTTCAATTTACTGGTAATTTCTGAGGGAAAAAAAGGAAATGCTACACCTTTTTTTTCAGCGTACATTTACTAAGATATTAAATCTTGTTTTCTGAAAAATCGCTCAGAATCGAACAAGTTAAATATAAGAAAACTTAATTCAGATATTTTTGAGTAAGATAAGCTTAAAGTCAGATAAGTGTAATGTTAATTTATTTAAAAAAAATTTCAGAAATAAAGACCTCTCAAGTAAATCTTAATTTAGGAATGTTTAGATACTTGTACTGGAAAACAAGACAAAAATACTTGAAATGAATAGAAAATCTGAAATGAATAGGCAACATGCTTATGTGAGCATGAACCTTAAAATCATTGTCATTAAAATGAAAAATAATTATAAATGCCTTTACACATTACAAAACAATCCTACCTTAGCAACAGCAATCTGCCATCTTATTGATTGTACAGTAAGTCTATAGAGTATCTGTGTGTTTGGGTAGTTTTAAACATAATATTACAAAATATTATCCAAAATAAGTCTAACATCAGTGACACAAGATACCCAGAGAGGATAGAAGGTGTGTTTTGGTAAGATTTTTAATTTTTTTTAAAGCGTATGCTCACTAAGGCTACTTTTATTTAATCAAAAATACAGTAAAACCCTAATATTGTGAATTATTAAAATAGCAGTTTTTAATATATTTTAAATTGTAATTTATTCCTGTTATGCAAAGCTGAATCTTCAATGTCACATGATGATCCTTCAGAAATCATTCTAATATGCTGATTTGCAGCTCAAGAAACATTTCTTATTACTATCAATGTTGAAAACAGTTGTGCTGCTTAATAAAGCATTTATTTAAAATGGAAATCTTTTTTTACATTATAACTAATCACTTTTGATGAATTTAATGCAATCCTCGCTAAATAAAAGTATTAGTTTCTTTCAAAAAAGACTCTTGAGTATAGTTGAGAGCTTGAGAATGTTAAATTAACTTTGATTCACATATTTCACACATGTACATATTGATTCAGGTCATTGTAGTATTTATAGCTACTAAAGTGTTCAAGGTGGGCGGAGCTTAGCGAAAGGTCAATTTTACGTCTTGTTTGCTACTTCAGTTCATTTGAATTTGTGTACAACCCTGTTATCTACAGCAACGGCTGGTCCAAAACAGCATGTCTTCAAACTAAGTGAGCGATTATTTTCCCTTTTATGACATGAATCAAAATTGATAAGAAAAGTCACCGTAAGGACTGCTTTTTGAAAAGGCTGTTTAAGATGCAAGCTGGCTTACACGCTTTCGTTCGGACAAGGTCAAAGCTGCATGTTCTCATTACGCCTGCTTCAGCGTATGTTGAAGGATTTAACGGCAGATGTTCTAGTGTTGGATTTACGAGAGTGTGAACCGTTTATTCTCTCTCTTTGTTAGTGTGTGAAAGTGTGAGGAGTAGACCGAGAAATAGCGATGATACATCCTGTCTGTCACTCAGGGGTGTCAAATCCCCCCCCCCCCACACACACACACACACACACACACACACAAATACACAGGATATATTCGGGAATATTTAACAACTACCGTTGAGGAGAAAATGAATTAAACAAAGAATTACCCTGATAGCACAAGAACATCAAGACATCTGTTGTTCTGGTGTGTTTTCATCTATTTTTTTCCCCCCTTTTTTATTTTTCTTTTTTCATGCAATAATTTCATTCAATGCATCTCCCCTATATATATATAAGGGCTTGACATTACCTTTTTTGCTCACCAGCCACTGTGGCTAGTGGTTTTCCATAATCACTCAGCATTTTCACTGGCCACAATTTGGACACCGATACCATAGGGGAATAACTACCATATAGATATTTTTAATAGCATCTCATAATTTGGCAGCCGGTATATTAGGCTACTGTCACTTTAAGAACTGACGCACTGACCCATTATACTGTTTTATATAGCCAATATACTTTATGTGCGCGCACTTTGGGTGTGAGCACAAAATCTGCGGGAATGAGTAAAATTGTCCTCAATATGCGCAATCCCTCGCCAGAATTCAAGCCCTGTACCACCAACAATATTCATCCGGAGCAAATAAAATGAGTGAGTAAAGCGTTGG